TCACTCACCTCCTCTCTCCCTTCTCCCTTCCCTCCCAGCAGCACCCTGCCTGGACTATAGAGGAGTCCTGCACCCCCCTCCTAATTATTCTCCCTCCTTCCCAGCAGCCTCAGCATCATGGCGCTCTGCATGGCTCTGGTAGGTAAAGGTGAGTACAGGTAAGCAGGAATGGGGGTGAAGTGTGGGGTGGGTGTGTGGGTGGGTGGGGACATGGGAGCAAGCGGGGAGTTCACTGCCTTAGGGACAGCATCTCCTGGGGTTGTGTCTTGTGGTGGTGGGTTTGGTGGATGGAATTTGCGCGGCACGGCACTCGGTGCTCAAGTAACGGATCTGACGTGCAAGGCCTAATGGACATCGTCAGAGCCGACCGGCCGGCGGCTCTGGTTCGCGTCAGCTCTGGCTACGTCAGGGGTGGGATTTGAGTCTTGGGCTGGAAGCGATTTTTCACAACCACACTTCGCCCCACAAGGCACCGCCTTTGGAGGTGCTGTTTCCTTAAGAAAGTGGGTTGTTTGCTGCTCCTACTGCAGGTAGGTGAAGGTAGGAGGGGCTGGGTGGGTGAGTGAGAGCCCAAGGGGCCTGAAACCCCTTGAGCGGGTGGGTGAGAGGGAAGGGGGCTGAATCCCCTTGGGTTGGGTGGGTGAGAGAGAAGGGGGCTTGAACCCCTTGGGTGGGTGACTGACAGCGGAGGGGGCTTGAACTCCTTGGGTGGGGAGAGTGAGAGAGAAGGGGTGTGAAACCCTTAGTGTGAGTGGAGCCTGAATTCCCTTGGGTGGGATGGGTGAGAAGGAAGGGGTGAATCCCCTTGAATGGGATGGGTGAGAAGGAAGGGGTGAAATTCCTGGGGAGGGATGGGTGAGAAGGAAGGGGTGAATTCCTTTGGGTGGTCTGAATGCCCTTAAGTGAAGTGAGAGAGTTGGGTTGGTTAAGATGGGTTGATTACTCTAAGGTGGGTTGAGTAAGATTGTGAGATGGGGCCTGATTTCCCTACGGTGGGTGAGGGGAGAGAGGAGGGATGGGGGCTGAATGAAGGGTCGGCGGGCTGTGGCTGGGTAAACGGGTAGGCGGGTGGTGGCTCGAGGCTGGATGCTGGCTGGGTGGTGCTGTGCTGGGTGTGTGGGGTGGGTTTGTTTGGGCGGTGTGGAGAGGGGTGGTGAGTGGGTAGTTAGGTAGGTGGGTGGGTGGTTGCTGGTTAGTGCATGTGGGTGGTTTCGTGGCTGAATTACTTCATGTGTTTGGGTGGTGTGTTGTGGATGGGGGGTGTGTTGTAGATGGGTGGTGTGTTGTGGATGGGAAAATGGGACGACGTACGGGGTGCGGTCGGGCGCGTACGAGATGTGGACATGGGGCGTAGTGCAGGTCATGGAGCTGGCGGAGGCGCTGGCAGATGTTGCTGGCGGGTCCGACGGCGAGTTTGCTAGATCGCTTGCTGGCGGGCTCGCGGGTCCGTTGGCGAGCTCGCTGGCGGGACGTTCGCCGGGGCAGGTGACGGGCGTGACGTGACGGGCGGCAACACGACGGGACGGGCAACGGTCGACGAGGCAGGTGACGGGCGGCAGTGCGACAGGACGGGCGACGGGCTACAGCAGCAGATATCGTGTGGGCGGCTGGCTGCTGTAGCGGGTAGCGCCCAGACGATGGGTTGCCACAGCAGATGGCACGCGGGCGACGGGCTGAAGGCAGGGAAGCACTCACGAGGCGCACTGCGGGCTGCGCAACGGTGTGTGCCATCACGAGAGGCTAGCGGTGGGCCCATAAAAATCGGTCCTCAGGAAATAACCGCTCTAAATCATGGTGATTCTTGGGTTGATGCTTTCAAAATTCAGTGTATTCTTACCATATGCCTTATTGAGACCCATTCATGTTACCATTTGCATATTTCCCCTGAACGGGTATATATTCTCCAACTACACCACTGTATGGGTGATTCCAGCTACGGTATTAGATCATATTAGCCATGCGTTTGCCTTCTACCGTCCCATTCACCATAACTCAGAGGGGTCAGCGCGCTCTCATAAAAAAAGAGAACGATACAAGACACACCATGTAAAAACAAGAAGACTGAAGAATTTGACACGTTTTTAAAAAAATAGTGGCATGAGGGTAAGAGGATACCATAATGTTTGTATGTATAAATAAGGTTCTAAGGATGTGAGGGGGCATGGGGTGGAGAGCAGATAATGGGAAGGCGGTATAAGGTGTAAATTTGTTTTGGGCTTGCACATATTAGAATCTGTTGTTGCTGAATTTAATAGAATGGCCTTCTGTAAGGAATTTTATCGATATTCCTTAGAGCACCCTGCAACATCGCGTACAGCAGCAGCCGTTGTTCGCCTGTTACTGCTAACGGGGCTTCGCCGACTTCGCGCGCACTGTTTCACCAAACCTCGCACTGCTGGCCTGGCCATGTCGGCCTACGCTTCGGAACTAGCCCGAGCCTCGCTCCAGCGTAGCACTAGCTAGCTCGCACGCACTGCGTTACCGTTTGCATGTTTCGCGTATAAATGTTCGCTCATGCCTTCGCTCACATTTTGTACTCGTTTGACACCTTAGTGCAATTCTAGCTACTTCGATCCATTGCACCCGTAACACCTTCAGATCTAGTGTACTCTTGGTGCATTTGAAATTTAGCCTCCATCTTTGCATCCCGCAGCGCCAGAGAAATGGCGGGCCAATATCAAGAGGAATGGCGTTCTTCCTCCTCCTGACACAGCACTGACACGAAATAACAGTAGCCTGTCATCCCGATTCCCGAGGTGGAATTTCCAGCACAGGAACGGTTTGATGGGTGGGCGAGTTTCAAGACAACCTAGTTTCTTGCTTGATCTCCTCTGTACCCGACCTTGTGAAAGCACTAGCCAGCAGAACACATCTATAGGTGTTAGCTGGTAAATTGCATGTTCGCCGCAGTGAATGGGAGTTGGCGCAGCTCGTCGCGTTTTTTTCTTAGGTCTGCGCGTAAATGACTTCACATCAGCGGTACAGCAATAATTCCTGCCTTCATCAAAAGTGACAGCTTTCTACGAAGCACGATCATGTCACCACTAACGGCTTCGATATAAAGATACTGCTTCTTACATCCCTTCAGCTATGGACGATCAGTGGGTCTAGTTATCCGCTACGCAGTAGGCTAAGTGAAGATAGAGGACCTACAAGTCCCGAGGATCAGCCGTAGGATCTTAAGCGCTATGTAGGATCAGAACATATCTTTTCGAAGAATCTGTGGATTGGCTAAGCGATATTTTCCTTGTGAATCCTGATGAGGTCAAAGAAACACTTGGCGCGTGGCAAAGCCGCTCTTAGCAAGTCGGCGAGGAAACAAAAGCAGGAGCGGGGATCTGACGGTGCAGAATCTGCGGAATTTCGTGTGAACGGAGCTTCGAACGAGTATGCGCCGTCCGATGGGGATCAGGTTCAATGCACGGTGACGGTAGGAGAGTCGATTGAACCTGAGCCGTCCTGGAAACAATCTGAGCCGTCGGATGTCACCAATCATGTTACTCCTAGGAGGTCTCTGAGATTGTCTGGGAAGACAGGTGGAGTGAGTGATAGAGGGGGGACAGCGGGAGTGAGTGAGAGAGAGGGAACAGCGGGAGGAAGTGAGAAACCAGGAACAAGGAGAGTGAAGGAGGGAAAGGCTTCACCGAGATCGAAGCAGCGGAACGCGAAGGAGGATAAGAAGGAGCAGAGCAGGAAGTATCGGGTCAGTAAAAGGGGTGAAAAGATAAATGAGGAGGAGGATGGGGAAGAGACGGAGGAGGAGGAATTCGAGGGTAGAAAGGATGATGCTGGTGATGGTGATGGTGATGGTGATGGTGATGGTGATGGTGATGGTGATGAAGCTGACGATGATGTTCAGGAGGTGGTGTCAGGGGGAGGGACTACGTGCGAGGAGGAGAACACGTGTGCCCAAGAGGGGGAGGTGCCAAGGAAAGGGGTGGAAGAGGAAGAGGGAGAGGCGGAAGAAGGGGAGGAGAGAGGGGAGGAGGGAGAGGAAGATGAAGAGGAAGAGGAAGGGGAGGCGAAGAGTGGTGAGGAGGGAAAGGAGTTGGGGGGGAAGGAGGGAGAGGAGGTCGAGGAAGTGGGGGGAGATAGCGAAGGAACATCTACGAGAAAAGAGACAGATACAGCGTATAAGGAAGGAGATGCACCCTACAGGAAATCAGACGGGCGTTTTGCACCAAGGCGGAGGGAGGGCCATGGTGCGAACGGACAGAACATGCTGTTGGGGGAGTGTGTGTCGGAGAGAGGGAATGCGAGGCAGGGAGATAAGGCGGGACAGAGGGATGCTGCTGGGCTTACGCGGGATGGCCTTGTGCAAGTAAAGGATGTGCTTGTAGGGAAGAATGCTACCACAGGGGGTAGAAATGTGGCAGCAGGGGGTGTGGCAGCAGGGGTTGCGGCAGCAGGGGTTGGGAATGCAGCAGCTGGAAGTAGGACGAGGGTGACAGGAGCAGTGTTTGGGAGAGGCGCGTTTGAAGCTACGTGGGGGAGCATGCAGCAACGCATGGATGTAAGCATGGGGCATAAATGTAAGAAGTGCATGGGACGCTACTATGTTATGTATAAGAACATAAGAACCGCATGCAACCCCATGGAACCCCACGACACCCCATGCAGGCATTGCTACGGGAGCACGAGAGCCGGGCAATTGCTCAGCTTCAGCAGTGGGTCAAGACATCCACCGCTCTGCACCGCTGTAAGCACCTCTATTGTAAGCACTTTCCTATAATCACCTTGCTATAAACATCTTCGCTATATGCACATTCGGATGTTTGACAGCCTAGCGTGGGACTCCTCATACAGCAGCCCACGATGAGCTCACATAACTCTTAATTCCTTCGGATCAGTGTATGTTTGCATCAAGTCATGATTAAGTAATGCATGAAGCAACCACCTTGCCTGCTCCCCAACACCTTGCTCCAGACAACGCAGGGCAAGAGGACGACTCAACATCAGTCCAGATAAGCCCTGTCCAGATAACGCCTGCTGGGGCGGGTATGGCCTGCAAGCTGCCGACCAGCGTTGTGGTAACCGGCTCGCTTGACTGCACCGACAGCGCCTCCTTCTGCTCTGCACTTCAGGCCTCCCTGCAGCAAATGGGCTGCTGCCACGTGGCGCTTCTGGAGCCACATAGCTTTGGCGGGGGAGGGCAGGCAGGGAGTCAAGCTGTGTTGAGCGTGCAGCGGCAGCTGACTGGGAAGGCTGGGAAGGTGAGGCCGAGACGGATGGTGGGGGGTGGAAGGAGGGGAAGAGGGCGGAAGAGTTTTTTGAGTTGAATACAAAAAGCAGGCTGGCAGCCAGGCTGTGTTGAGCGTGCTGCAGCAGCTGACAGGGAAGGTTGGGAAGGTGAGACGGAGACGGATAGGGGGGTGAGAGGGTGAATGGGTGGATGCTGGAAAAGGCTGGGGAGGAGGAGAGGGAGAAAGAGCGGAAGTTGAGGGCAGGGGTGGGAAGAGTGGAAAGTGGGGAGTAGGCGTGGGACAGGCTTGTGATCTTAATGCCCCACAACAGGAAACCTGCCCAACCAGCCTGTCATCTTAAAGCCTGCCTTCCTGTGCACATCTTGAGCGACTCCTTCCCCATGCTGCCCGTGTGCCCCAGGTCCCTGACATGGCGGCCCTCTCCGCATGGCACCAGGCTCACACCAGTGCTGGCAGCGGGGGTAGCGTAGCTGGCTGCAGTGGTGGTGTGTGCGCCATAGCGGTGGTGGTGGCGGACGCGCCTGCATGCAGCAGCAGTGCCCTGCATGCCTTGATCGGTGTCCTCAGGTCAGGGCTGCTCCTCCTTTGTTAAAGTAGACTCAAATGGGAGGGACGGTGGTGATGGTGTGGGCTCAATCGCTGTTGTGGTGGCGGACTCACCTGCGTGCAGCAGCAGTACGCTGCATGCCCTCATCACTGTCCTCAGCTCTTGAGTCGACTCAAAGGCGCTGCATGCCCTCATCACTGTCCTCAGCTCTTGAGTCGACTCAAAGGCGCTGCATGCCCTCATCACTGTCCTCAGCTCTTGAGTCGACTCAAAGGCGCTGCATGCCCTCATCACTGTCCTCAGCTCTTGAGTCGACTCAAAGGCGCTGCATGCCCTCATCACTGTCCTCAGCTCTTGAGTCGACTCAAAGGCGCTGCATGCCCTCATCACTGTCCTCAGCTCTTGAGTCGACTCAAAGGCGCTGCATGCCCTCATCACTGTCCTCAGCTCTTGAGTCGACTCAAAGGCGCTGCATGCCCTCATCACTGTCCTCAGCTCTTGAGTCGACTCAAAGGCGCTGCATGCCCTCATCACTGTCCTCAGCTCTTGAGTCGACTCAAAGGCGCTGCATGCCCTCATCACTGTCCTCAGCTCTTGAGTCGACTCAAAGGCGCTGCATGCCCTCATCACTGTCCTCAGCTCGAGTCGACTCAAAGGCGCTGCATGCCCTCATCACTGTCCTCATCACTGTCCTCATCCCACTCTGCTTCCTTTTCTCTTCCTTCAGCCGTCCTCCCTCTCTCCCCCTTCCCCCATCCTTCCCCCTCCACCTGTCCTCAGACGCACTTTTCTTACTTCTCCAAAGACTTTCCAACATCTTTTACCAGAAACACCCTTCCCCAAACACACCTTCCCCCACATACACCTCCCCTCAGAAACACCCCTCCCACTGCCCCCCCTTAACCTTCCCCCACCCTCAGCGAGTGGCGCAGCACCCTCCCTTTTGTCCTCATCCTCACTGGCGTCCACTCCTTGCCGTCCATCCCCCGCCTCCTGCCGCCCAGCACCCTCCCCCACCTCCACCTCTCCACCTTCCGCCTGCCCTCTCCGCGCCTCCTCCTCGACCCCCTCCTCCTCTCCGCCCTTCTACAGCCCTTGTCCTCCCCTCCCTCGCCATCACCACCGATCCCTGCAGCAGCAGCAGCAGCAGCAGGAGTGGGAATAGGAGGAGCAGGAGGAGGAGCAGGAGGAGGAGCAGGAGCAGGAGCAGGAGTAGGAGCAGGAGCAGGAAGAGGAGCAGGGACAGGAGCAGCAGCAGCGGTGACGGTGCCAGTAGTTCTCTCGCACTCAGCCTGGGCAGCACTGTGGGAGTCGTTTGAGCTGCACGATGGGTCCATGCAGGGGCTCACGCGCTGCCTCAAGGTGAGCGTGGGGGGATGGGGGGAAGAGGAGGAGGTGAATCCAATAGGATCTATCTGAGGTGCACGATGGGTCCATGCAGGGGCTCACGCGCTGCCTCAAGGTGAGCTGAAGGCTGAGAGAGGGAGGGGGATGGGGGTGCGCTCCTCCAGGTCCTTGCTCACCACCACTTCGTCTGCACACCCTTGCTCACCACAGTGGGTTCGTCTGACCCTCTTCATGTCTCACCCTCTCATCCCCCCTCCCTCTCCCCTTCCCGCCCGCTCATCCTCTCCCTCTCCTCCCCTCTTTCCCTCTCTTTTCCCTCCAGACCCTCCTCCAATGTGGATTTTTCTCTTGAGAATGCTCAAAAGTAAAATCCTCTCTCCTCCCTCCAGACCCTCCTCCCCCGCTATTTCTTCGGCACGCCGTCTCTCGCCACAGAGGGTGCGTCTGAACCTCCTGTCTCGCCTTGTCCTCCCGCCTCCCTCCCCCTCTCTCCCTCTCTGTGCCTCTCGTCTCCCTGCAGACCCTCCTTCACAACCACTTCTTCAGCGCACCCTCGCTCACCACAGGGGGTGCATCCGACCCTCCTCCCGGGTCTGCCCTCCATAGCACCGCTGCAGTGCCACCTGCATCAGCTGAACCTGCCGCTGCTGCACCTCCCCCAGTCGCGCCTCCCCTGCTGAGCCAATGGGCGTCCGCTGTTGAGGTAACTGTCTCACACCGCTGGCCTAACCCCGTGCATGTGACCTGCCTGAGTCATACTGCTCCCTGTGTTCCTTTGTTTGTGTCTTCCCACCACTGTCTCTCGTCTCTCCTCCCTCCATTGTTTGGTTTTCCTCCTTCAATTCAAACCCCTTCTCAGGCGCTCTACCTGCTCCTCCTCCGCCTGCACCTCCTTCTTCCCCACTCCGCACACCTCCTCGCCTTCCTCCTCGCCTCCTCCCACCCCTCTCTCACTCCCCCACACACTCCCTCACCAGAATCCCTCCTCCGCCTCCTCTCCTCCCTCACCCCTCTCCCTCCCATCTCCCTCACACCATCAATCTCCTCGCCCATTCCTCCGAAACGATACAACCCCGCAACAAATGCGGGTTCACCCATCAGCCCTGCACCAGGAGCAGAACAAGGGAGCTGGAGTTCTCCCATCTCCCCAGCGCCTACAGCAATTCAGATTGCCCTCAGATCAGGGTCGTATGGGAGCCATGCGCCTCCTGCTGCTGCTGTTGCTGCGGCCGCTGCGGCTGCTGGTGCTGCTGTGCCAACTGTGGGCCAGGTGCTGAGTCACACGGAGTGCTTGCAGCGCGTGGTGCAGGCAACAAATGCACTGGCGAGGTAAGTGCGGGGTGTGTGCGTGCTGGGCCCTCACAGCCTTTGGAACCCTACACCTGCTGCTGTTGCTCAAGTGCTGAGTCACACGGATTGCTTGCAGTGAGTGGTGCAGGCGACAAATGCGCTGGCGAGGTCAGCGCACAGGTGAGGGGGGTGTGGGGGTGGACGAACCGTTGCGATAAGGAGAGCATGACGTAATGGATGGTGCCACTTGACAGCCCTCTACATTGATGCAACGGAAGGTGCTTCATTGCTGGGAGGAAATCGACTCGCAGCTAGAGACAGTTTGTGGGCAGACCACAAACTGCCTACAGCTGCTCGTTCTGCACTCTTTCTACTCGTGCACCCTCCCTTCCTTCATGCCTCAAACGACCTGCCTTCCTCCCTGTCTCACACACTTTCCTCTCCTCCCTGCGCCTGCCAGGCAAGAGTTGGAAGAGGTGGAGAGGAGGCACACGGGGAAGGAGAGAAGCAACGGGCATCCAGAAAAGCTGCGCAAAATGACAGGAGAGGCAGGGAATGCAGGGGAGGAAGGGGAGGTAGCTGAGGCAGGCAGGACAGAAGAGATATCTAAGGCAAGAGAGGAAGGAGGGGATGGTGATGTGGAGGAGGTGGCAAGTGGGCGAGAGACCGCAGGGAGGGGAGAAGGAAAGGAAGGAGTGGAGGGGGAGGGAGAGCAGGGCGAGGCGAGGGGAGGGGGTGGAGAGTGGGCGTGGGAGGCGGGAGGCGAGGCCAGAGCAGAGAGTGTGCTGGGCTGGCTGGAGCTTGCGTGTGCCAAACTGCCTGAGGTGAGTCCGTCCATGGGGGGAGTTTCTCAGGAATGAGTTTAGTGAGTTGGGTTCATGTGGCACGAGCAGTGAGTGTGCTGGGCTGGCTGGAGCTTGCGTGTGCCAAACTGCCTGAGGTGAGTCCGTCCATGGGGGGAGTTTCTCAGGAATGAGTTTAGTGAGTTGGGTTCATGTGGCACGAGCAGTGAGTGTGCTGGGCTGGCTGGAGCTTGCCTGTGCCTAACTGCCTGAGGTAGACCTTGCCCTTTTTGTCGATGTTTTTCTTCTAACTTTGGTGTTGTGGTTTCTGTGTATCAGGGCAGCTGTTGCAACCATTATTGCCTCAACCATGCATCCATCCGTCCATCTGTCCACCCATCCGTCCTCTATGCCAATTCTTGTTCATGTCCCTCTTTTGGTCCTGCACAGCCCCTCCGCCTGGTTCAGCAGATTCAAGCCTCTGTGGAAGCAGCCGTACGCCGAACCAAAGCAGAAAGAGCAGCAGCAGCGGCAGCAGCAGCAGCAGCAGGAAAGCGGAAAGGAGGAGATTTGAGGGGCGAGAATGAGACGGAGAGTCGGAATGGCGTGGACGGTACCAAGCTCAGATCCGGCAATTCGGCTAAGGGAGGGTTAGCTGGGGGAGGGTCAACAGGAGGAGCTGCGGTGAAAGGAGCAGATGGTTTGGGTGGGAAAGGCATGAAAGGAGGGGTGGCAGGTGCGGATGCTGCGAGTATGGCACAGAGGGGTTCGAGTGCTGCGATGAGGAGAAGGTGGGTGGAGAGGGATGAAGTGCGGTATGGTAGGTGTTGCGAGTGTGCAAGGCAGGTGTGACAGTGTGGCGTGGCTAGGGTGTAAGGCAGTGACTGCACAGAAGCCACGCCTTTGCAGCTTGCATGGCCCTCCTCTGTGCTTCTTGACCCACTTCAACCCCCCCACAACTTAACCCAACCCACTCCAACCCAACCAAACCTATTCCAACCCAACACCACCCACTCCGTCGCAGGGCCGTGCTGCTCCAATCAGCGGCGGCACCACCGGCATCAGTAGCGTCAAACCGTCCCGCTGCACCCCGTCCTTCTCTGCAGCATGCAGCAGCCCGTGCTGCTGCCCCCCCAAGGTCGCTGTGTGACCAGCTGCTGCCACACGTGGCAGGGAAGCTGCAAGCCCTGCTGGCGTGTCTCGTGCGGTAAGAGTTGACGTTTACGTTGTACGAAAAAACCACAATGAGAATCCATACACGGTAATTTTTTTTTTTTTACCCATCCGAAAAGCTAGGTGCCATTTGCGCTAAGTGCGTAAATCTGGTCCTCTTTCCTATCCCTCTCACGGACCCCTCCCCCGCCAGCCTCTGTGCAGCAGACTGGTCCTCCCACCCACACCTGCAGCCGTTCATCGCTGAAGCCCCTGCCGTATTCTTTCTTTCCCTCCCTCTCCCCTCCTCACTCCCCTATCTTTCCCCCGCTCTTGCTGACCCCTCCCCCGCCAGCCTCTGTGCAGCAGACTGGTCCTCCCACCCGCACCTACAGCCGTTCATAGTCAAAGCCCCTGCATCCCTCGCAGCCTACCCTGCTGGGGCCGCTGTGCTCTCCTCCCTCCGCTCTGACCTCTCCTTGCAACAGCAGCAGCAGCACGAGGAGGAGGAGGAGGAACAGCAACAGCAACAGCAACAGCAACAGCAGCAGCGCGGAGTTCAAATGCAATTGATGGAAGCGCGAACAGCTCTGGATATCATCAGCTTCACTAAACGGCCATCTCAGAAGGATCTTATGCCGCCGCCCCTTGAGTCATCTCAGAGGCCGCCTCTCAAGGCCCCTCACAAGGCCCCTCAAAAGCATATCGTGCCAGCGCCCTCACACAAAGATCACACTTTGGGGGTGACTGAAAAGTCGTCTCAAGGAGGTGTGATACCCGCAGCGTCGACAGCGCATGACACGGGTCGCCTGTACTCCCTGGTGTGCGCCATGCCCGGTGCTTCTGCTGACTCCCGCGACCTCCTCTCTGCCTTCGCTGCTTCCACTCGTGCTGCCTGCGCCCCCGCTGCTGCTTCTGTGGCTGCACCTAGTGCGGCTGAATGTGGTGCTGCAGATGAGGCTGCTGGTGCTGCTGCTACTGGGGTTGCTGAAGCTGGTGTCGCTGGTGGAAAGAGGGGCAGGGGTCGTGGGAGGAAGGGGAGGACGGCAGATGGGAGAGAGGCGGTGAAGGATGGTGAAAAGATGGGAGGGAGGAGGGGGAGGAAGAGGAAGGGTGGTGATGGGGGTGAGCAGCAGGAGGTGGGGCAGGATTGCAGCACCACGACAGCCACTCTCTCGGATGAGCATATCCAGTTGCGTCCATGCTTGCCTGTGCCCATGCGATCATGAATGCCACTCACTCCCTCATTTTGTTTTAAGACGCCCCACAAAAGGTCTCATCTGAGGTGGCTCAGAAATCCCATCCGCTGGCGGTCATTCTTGCACCATCCTTGTGGCATCTTGAGTGCGGCTTCAGCGTTGCACCCCCTTGCCATACGTTGCCCATGCACCTCCCCTCGCACCCCCCCTCACCCCGCAGGGCTCGCTTCCTGGCAGCAGCATCAGAGCTGCAGGTGCTGGGAGTGCTGCTCGTATACATGTGGCCCCCTGCCCGGTGCTCAGTTTCCGCACATTGCCTGTGCACCTCCGTATGCCGTGTGCCCTCTCTGCCCTCCCATACCTGACAGGACTCAGTTCCTGGCAGCAGCATCGGAGCTGCAGGTGCTGGTAATGCTTCACCCGATAAACGTGTCTCCCTACCCTGCTCTTGGTCTTCGTACATTTCCATCCATGCACCTCCGTATGCCATGTGCCCTCCCTGCCCTCCCACCCCCCACAGGGCTCGGTTCTTGGCAGCAGCGTCGGAGCTGCAGGTGCTGGGAGTGCTGCACCCCTCCTCCCGCCGCCGCACTCGCTCCATGCACCGTGCCCTGCTGCCTTGACTCAAGTGTGGCCATGGTGTGAGTGTCTGCTGGCTTGCCGCCCACTCTGGGCTCTTTACAAAGACGAGTCCCTACTTTTATTGGTATACTTGCCATAACAGCACCACCTGTGAAGAGAGCTAAGCTAATTCGTTAATATTTTTGCAGGCAGAAAGTGCCTGATTGGCTCTCAACAACAATTCGCTATAACCGTATACGTTCACCGTGACATTCCAGCAACTGCAAGCGGTACAAAATCGGCATGAAGAAACACCAACATGCATGAAGCTCAACTCGAGATACAGCTTGATGCACAGGCCCGAGTGCATCTCAACTCCCCCAGCCTCATCAGGGCAGAGGTGAAGCACTGGAAGGAGTTGGCTTTGACAGGCAGATTCTGCCGCAGTCAGCCAGCACTCTTCATAGCAGGACCATAGATGACAGAGGTCACAGCGGCAGCCTGGCCGGGTGGTCTCCCCTCATTGCTGAAAGAACATCAATTCGCTGCAGCTCACAGCATCAAGGAGGTGAAGTGGTGACACAGCTGCTGCGGCTGCTGCTGCGGCTGCTGCTGAAGCTGCGAAGGCTGTTGGCCGTGCTGAAATGTCTGCCAGAGAAAAGGAATGCCCGGAAACCGGAAGAGATGGAGCAGCCACACCTCTGGTCTGCAACGGCAGCAGGTGATGGATTCTGACAGACATTGACAGCCCCTTGCATAACGGATAACGTTGTGAGGTGAGGTGTTGAGAGGCCTTCAGAAAAGCCCCGACTGACACGCTCGCACCTGCCGCACGCTCCCCCTTGCCCCTGCTGGCCTGTGCCCGCTTGACAGCGTCTGCAACAGGGGAGAGATCTCAGCTGACGCCCTCGCACACTGAGATGCAGGCTCATGTTGTCACTGGGAACATGAGAGCGGGGTGGAGCTACCCAGTGGCAGCGGCAGCACACCTGCATCTCACCCTCGGCCAGTGCAATCCTGGAAACACTTGAGGTGGGTGCGTGCAAGTCTCTGTCCGCGCGTGCAGCTTGCCGCTCCCATCCCACACTCAGTATCCAGAGCTGCTGCCTGTGAGTACCGCCCGTTCCAGGTACTGAAACCATGTGGGAAACGCATGCATGCATGCAGGGCAAGGTGGCCAGGTGACAGCGCCTGCCTGCCAGTGTGTGCCGGCTGGGCAAGAGTCAAGTCAAGGGTTGCCCCCCTCCGGAGGTTTCTTAGACGTGTTGTCATGCGGCACGCCTCTTGCTGCTCGCAGCTCCTGTTACAGTCACACCCGGGACATGCACAAACACGGATGCACAAACGCAGGATTCAGAAACGTATAGCTGGAGGCAGCCAAGGAAGGTACAACACAGTGGACGTACACGCATGCTGATGTGGACATGCACACATGCTGACGCCAACACGTACACATACAGACTCGGACCCATTGTCTCCCTCCCTCACCACCGACTTTTGAGTCGACTCAAAAGTCAGACTCGGACCCATTGTCTCCCTCCCTCACCACCTCCATCCCTCTCAAGTGCTCCTCCCCTCACTCACGCACCTCTTGCAGGGAGCGTATCTGCTGCTCCTGCTGCTGGCTGACCTGCTGCTCCGCTGCCAGCTGCTGCCGCACCTGTGGAACAGGAGAGATAGCAGGGGAGGAGGTTTTGGGACTCTGGCTGTCTGACTGAGAACACAGGCGGTAGTTCTTTCGATTTATCTCAGTAACACGTACGTCCGACCTTGGAACACATTGTTTGTTCGATTAGATTACTGAATAATATCCGACCTTTGAGCACGCGTCCATGACCTCCGCGAGTCGCTGTCGCTCGTCCTCCGCCTTCGCCTTCCACTCGCCCTCCTGCCGCCGCATCGCATCGTACAGCCGCTCCATCTGATTCCTGCCACGTGGCGCACACGCACGATCCACACACGCATGACACATCGATCGGGACGCGGTATAGAATGAAGACTCGAACGGGGACGGAAAGACAAAGGCTTGCTAACAGAGTCAGCCTGTTTCTGAAGAGGCGAGCAGGGGAGCAGGAAGCGTGGGGGACGATGTGATCGGCGAACCTGGACCGTCGATTGACGTCGATCTCTTGCTGCATCTGGTTGTGATGGTGCACCATCACAATGGCTGCTGCGATCGCCACCATGACGTAGCAGAAACGGCCGACGCTCGGCCGCGGCCACGGCGCGTGAGGGTGTCTCGTTGACCACATCGTGGAGATGTCGTAGACCGATGCGATACGATGTGATACGACGTGATACGATGTGACAGTAACGATTGGGACGTTTTTGTACCGCAAATATAACGCTGGAACCGGGTTTGAATGAGCACGCACTGGATCAGGCTATGAAATTGCCATGGCGTGAGATAATAAGGAGCCAGGTCGTGCAAATGACGTGTAGCGCGCTCCGTGTTGCGAGGGAGGGGACAGGTATTTTGTGAGACAGGCTTCTATGGTGTGACTGATTTGTGCTCATGTGACTGCAGGCCAGATCTCACCCACCATCCCAAAAAAATGTTTTCTGGGTTTCAGGTAGTGCTGTACAGTACCAATGCGCACTGCATTTTGCGCTCCTTCGTTTTTGCTAGTTTGTCACGGGTGATGTTTACTGTAGTTTATGATTTTACTGTAAAAGAGATTATATTAGGAAATATCGGTCGATTTACCCTATATGCTTTGGAGAGCCTATGTCCCAGCGGAACATTCCATGGCGAAGATGACGGCTACCGCGAAGGCTCGTTCTGACTTTCAAGTTCTTCGCGAAGGTTTTCCGTTTACGAACCGGCGACCACTGACGGCCGAATGACCGAGCGAGACCCGTTCCGCCCGCGTGGTTGCTTTCCCACAGAGACTCTGTTCCGTTCTGTTCCGTTCCCTCCCGCCTGCCCCAGAGGGATCTGGCGGGCAGAGGTGGACAGACGGATGAGGGGGTGATCCGTTTGCAGGGAATCCCGAGGGAGAGGAATACGTGGCACGGCAGGCACTCATCAGCCCGTGGGTTGAGTCGTTCCCCAGAACGCCATCTGAGGGAGCCAAGTTAGGGTTTCTGGTTTACTTGGTACTTGTCGTTCCTCCTCCCGCTCCTTATCTCATTAGCAGATCTGGAATGGAATAAGAGGAGAGTTTTTACGCTTTCAGGGTGTAGATTAGTTGTCGCGGCGGGTCTTGCGCCGTGTCTTTAGTTGCGGGACAGTGATTTTATATGGTTTCTTAGCTTCGAGCTTTTTCGATTTTGAAGAGGCTTCAGCTTTGTCGCCGTAAATCGTGTTTGACCTTCCTGATAGCCGTTTTTGTTCTATCGTGCTCAAAATTAGGTTTCCGCGTAGCAGGGTCTGACAGTGGTAGGCTCACCATTCAATTAAGCCATCCGTAATGCTTCCTTCTTTTTAGGTTTCTTTTATTAGATTCTCGTAAATCTAGTCATCCGGATTTTCATAGGGAGGAATCATGAGGAAGGCGGAAGAATCAGGAGCGACGGCGTGTCAGATCAACTCAGAAGGCACATTGCCCGGATCTCGCAGCGACAAGATCCAGCTGCGAGGCAACGAAAGCATTGATGATCCGAAGGAGGCCGGTCAGGAGTCGGTGGTGGTAGAGCGCAAGGGCGACCACGCCGCCATCTGCAAATGGACCATCGCGCAGTTCGGGAAAGTCAAGGCGCGCGCGCTTTGGAGCAAGTATTTCGAAGTAGGGGGGTTCGACTGCCGGCTGCTCGTATACCCGAAAGGCGATTCGCAGGCTTTGCCGGGGTACATATCGATTTATTTGCAGCTGACGGACCCGCGCGGGACAGCTAGTAGCAAGTGGGATTGCTTCGCGAGCTACCGGCTTTGCGTGGTGAACGTGAAAGATGACAGCAAGACGGTGCAGCGGGATTCGTGGCACCGGTTTTCAGGGAAGAAGAAGTCGCACGGGTGGTGCGACTTCACGCCGTCGTCGGTCGTGCTGGATTCCCGCGCGGGGTTTCTGATGACTGACGCGGTGCTTATAACGGCGGAGATTCTCATTCTTAACGAGTCCGTGTCGTTCTCGCGCGACAACGAGGTGCTCGCGTCGTCGATTACTCCCGCTACCGGGGAGGTTGTTAGCGGGAAATTCTCGTGGAAAGTTCACAACTTCTCGCTGTTTAAGGAAATGATTAAGACGCAGAAGATCATGAGTCCCGTGTTTCCTGCTGGGGATTGCAACCTCCGTCTGAGCGTCTACCAGTCGTCCGTCAACAACGTCGATTACCTCTCCATGTGCCTCGAGAGTAAAGACGTCGATAAATCGTCCGGCCCGGAGCGCAGCTGCTGGTGCCTGTTCCGCATGTCGGTGCTGAACCAACGGCCGGGATCGAACCACGTGCACAGGGACTCGTACGGCCGATTCGCAGCGGACAACAAGAGCGGAGACAACACGAGCCTGGGGTGGAACGATTACATGCGCATGGCGGATTTCGTCTCCGCTACCGCGGGGTATTTGGTGGACGATACGGCGGTGTTCAGCGCGTCGTTCCACGTCATCAAGGAGTCGAGCACGTTCTCCAAGAACCCGTCGCTGCCGGGCGGGCGCGGCAGCAACGTGAAGAAGGGCGACGGGTACTTCGGGAAATTCGTGTGGCGGATCGATAACTTCACGCGGCTGAAGGACCTGCTGAAGAAGCGCAAGATCACGGGGCTGTGCATTAAGAGCAAGCGGTTCCAGGTCGGCGGGCGCGACTGCCGCCTCATTGTTTACCCGCGAGGTACGGTTGCGCTGCGCGTGCGGTGTGCACTGCTTGTGAGGAGTGCACTAGCTGTGAGGTATACACTAGTCGTGGTAGGGTCTTGTCGGGTGAAGTTTCCTGTGCCGAATTTCGCTTTGCTGTTCTCCGCGTTTACGTACATTTCCCCCCTCCCCAATTCTGCGTTCGTCGCGCCGTCTCTTCCGCCGTTTTCTCGCACTTTTATCGCTTTTCACCAGCTCACTACGACCCTCCCGTCCCTTTCCGTCGCCGCCTTTCTCGCCTTGCCCGCCGCTTCTGTTCCCTTCCCCCTGTTCCCCGTCCGCCATGCACCGAATTCCACCCGCCCAGACCAGACGCAGCCGCCGTGCCACCTATCGATGTTCCTTGAAGTCACGGATTTGCACGTGCCCTCTGCCCTACCCGAAGTTACTCCCGTATCCCTCCTTATCCCCCCATTTCCCCCTACTTCCCCGCTGTTTCCCCCATATCCCTCCGACCACACCCGCGCAGGCCAGTCGCAGCCGCCGTGCCACCTGTCCATGTTCCTCGAGGTCACGGACTCGCGCGTGCCAGCAGCCGACTGGAGCTGCTTCGTGAGCCATCGCCTCTCCGTCGTCAACCAGCGGCAGGAGGACCGGTGCGTCGCCAAGGAGTCGCAGAACCGCTACAGCAAGGCCGCGAAAGACTGGGGCTGGCGCGAGTTCGTTACCCTCACCTCGCTCTTCGACCTAGACTCGGGGTTCCTTGTATCGGATACTGTGGTGTTCTCCGCGGAGGTGCTTATACTGAAGGAGTCGTCGTTTCTGTTCGAGTATACAGACGAGGGGGCGGCGTCCCCCGCGGGGCTGGTGGGGATAGGGGGCGCGGGGACGGCGCAGCTGATTGCGGGGGGCGCCATGGACGTGACAGGCGCGAATAAGATCGCCAAGCGCGGCGTGTTCACGTGGAAGGTGGAGAATTTTCTGGCGTTCAAGGAGATCATGGAGACGCGCAAGATCTTCAGCAAGTTCTTCTCCGCTGGCGGCTGTGATCTCCGCATTGGTGCGTTTTGAAAGGCATAACTCGTTTGCTTTCCCCGACTCAACGTTTTCTTTGCACCCTCTCCCTGCACGCTGTGTTCGCCCCCTGGCTCTGCTTTTCCGCCCCTTGTCCCCTACCCCAGCCCCCCCCTCCCCACGTCCCGCCCTCTATTTCTCGCTCGTTGCGCTTTGCTGTTTTAGCGGGCAATTAGGGTTTCATGTGCACCATGCGCCACCATCCATGCGCCACCATCCATGCGCCACCATCCATGCGCCACCATCCATGCGCCACCATCCATGCGCCACCATCCATGCGCCACCATCCATGCGCCACCATCCATGCGCCACCATCCATACGCCACCATCCATGCGCCACCATCCATGCGCCACCATCCATGCGCCACCATCCATGCGCCACCATCCATGCGCCACCATCCATGCGCCACCATCCATTCGCCACCATCCATTCGCCACACGCTCCTCAATGCCTCTCCAGGCGTGTAATAGTTGTGCGAAACGCTCTGCATCTGCCTGGAGAACGAGCAGGCCATGGCGGGCGGCTATCCCAGTCGTTGAAGCCCTCTCGCACATGTCGTTGTTTCGACAACTCAAACCCCCTTTCCCCCCTCCCCCTCCCCTCGCACCAACCCCCTTCTCCCGGCACGCCCCTTCCTTTCCCCTCCCCCCCCCTTTCCGCTCAGGCGTGTACGAGTCGTTTGACACGCTGTGCATCTACCTGGAGAGCGATCAGGCGATGGCGGGAGCAGGGCCGTCCACAGCCACCACCATGGCCGCGACGGACATGGACAAGAACTTCTGGGTGCGCTACAAGATCGGCATCGTCAACCAGAAGGCCGCGGAGGCGAGCGTGTGGAAGGAGGCGAGTGTGTGCACGCGCACGTGGAACAACAGCGTGCTGCAGCTCATGAAGGTCGCGGAGCTGCTGGACCCGGAGGGCGGGTTTCTCGTGCGCGACACGGTTGTTTTCGTGTGCGATATCCTCGACTGCTGCCCCTGGTTCGAGTTCTCGGACCTCGAGGTGAGAGGGCGTGAAGGGTTTGAGGTTGGGAGCAAGGGGGTTGTGGGGCAGGGGGTAATGGGGCAGAGGGTAGGGGATTGTGGGGCAGGAGGTAGGGGATTGTGGGGCAGGAGGTAGGGGATTGTGGGGCAGGAGGTAGGGGATTGTGGGGCAGGAGGTAGGGGATTGTGGGGCAGGGGATTGTGGGGCAGGGGGTAGTGGGGGGCACGCGCACGTGGAACAACAGCGTGCTGCAGCTCATGAAGGTCGCGGAGCTGCTGGATCCGGAGGGCGGGTTTCTGGTGCGGGATACCGTGGTGTTGGTGTGCGATATTCTCGACTGGACTGCTGCCCCTGGTTAGAGTTCTCGGATCTTGAGGTGAGAGGGCGTGGAGGTTGGGGGTGTGGGACAGGGGGCGGTGGGGCTGGCAGGGGGCAGCGGGAGGGGGCAGTGGGACAGGGGGCGGTGGGGCAGGGGGGAGTGGGACAGGGGGGAGTGGTGCGCGATACCGTGGTGTTGGTGTGTGATATTCTCGACTGCTGCCCCTAGTTCGAGTTCTCGGACCTTCAGGCGAGAGAGGGTGCGAGGTACGCGGTTGCAAGTTGAGGTTTGGGGTACGTGGTTGGGGGTTATGGGGGTTATGCTTGCCGGTTTAGGCTGATCTGAAGTGAGTTGTTAGTGGGCTCGAAATTACCTTGTTGGCGCACCACTAAGACTCGTGCAGTGTGTGCGGTAGAGGGTTTTGTCAGGGTTCCATGGCGAATTGGGTCCAATCCGAACGGGGGCAGGGGAGGAGGTACGTGGATAAGACTTTTCTAGCCCCCCTACGTGGATAAAACTTTTCTACCCCCCTGCGTGGATAAAAACTTTCTAACCTTCAGATTTTCCAACCTTTGCTTTTTCGTTTCCCCACCCTCGGCCACACACAGGGCGTGCCTGGGCAGGTGATGATGTCCGACGAGGAGGAAGACGAGGAGGAGGAGGAGGACGAGGAGGAGGACGAGGATGGGGACGGGCTCAGCACAGACGGGGAAGAGCTGTTAGATAGTGATGACGGGGAGGTGGGCTTGGGCGGACCAGGAGGCCCGGGGGGTGCTGGAGGGTTGGGGACCATGCCTTCCTCCTCCTCCTCCCTTGCCCCGCCCTCCTCCGCCGGTTCTGCTGCCGCCGTGGCGGCTTCTGCTGCTGCCTCTGATGCTGCGTCTGCCGCTGCTTCTGGTGGTGGTGGTGGGGGGTCGTCTGGGGCTGTGACGGGAGGGGCACCGGCGGGGGCGGCGGGGGGTTTGATGGGGGACGAGGAGGATATTTTCCGCTCGCTGCTGGTGCGCGCAGGGTTCCATCTGAGCTACGGGGACAGCTCCCCCCTGCTGCTGGATCCCACGCAGCTGCAGGTGACGCTGCGGGAGAAGCTACTCATGGATGCGGGCGCAGTGGCCACCTTCCTGGGCGGCCTGCGCACCTACCTGGACGACCCTACTAAGATCAAGCGCCTCTTCCTCCCCCCCGCGCAGCCCGCCTCCGCCTCTGCTTCCGCTTCCGCCCCGGCCGGCGCGTCTGGCGCGGGGGGAAGAGGCGGGTATGGCAAGGGAGGGAGGGGCGGGCAGCAGCGAGGGCAGAACCAGGGCCGGGGGGGACAGGAGCAGGGGGGAGCGCAGGGGCAGGGGCAGGCGCAGGGGCAGGGGGGAGCACAGGGCCAGGGGCAGGGGGAGGGGGAGCATCCGTCGCTGGTGAATCTGCTGATGGGGGTGAAGGTGCTGCAGCAGGCCATAGTGGACTTGCTTTTGGATATCATGGTCGAGTGCTGTCAGCAGCGCGCACCCTCCCAGAGCGATGCAGACACAGGCCGCCTCTTTGGCACAGGTGAGGAGTTGGGAGTGGTGAGGAGTGGTGAGGTTAGTAGACTTGCTGCTGGATATCATGGTGGAGTGCTGCCAGCAACGCGCGCCCTCCCAGGGCGATGCAGACACAGGCCGCCTCTTTGGCACAGGTGAGCAGTGGGGAGTGGTGGGGAGTGGTGGGGAGTGGTGAGGTTAGTAGACTTGCTGCTGGATATCATGGTGGAGTGCTGCCAGCAGCGCGCGCCCTCCCAGGGCGACGCAGACGCTGGCCGTCTCTTTGGCACAGGTGAGCAGTGGCGAGGGGTGGGGAGGGGTCGTGAGAGGTGGTGACGAGTGGTGACGAGTGGTTTGGGGGAATCTGCTGATAGGGGTGAATGTGCTGTGGGCCATTGTGGATCTGCGTCCACACGGAATTGTTTGTGTGCCTCTCATAAGTGCCTCGCTGTGCACTCTACCCCAGTCTCCCACCACTGACGTCACCGCGTTGCTTCTGTGTCTCCGTTTCTCTGTGTGCGTGTGTGTGATTGTGCGTGCATGTGTGTGTCTGTGCACCTGGGTCTGTATGCGTGCATGTGTATGTCTGTGTGTGTACGACTTATGCTGCCTCCCTTTTTCCTTTGCCCTCAACATTGACCACCAGACGACACTGCAACCTCCCTCCCCACTCTTCCAGTCCCCATCCCTTCCGCCACCACGCCTCCGCTCGCCCCGTCCGCCTGCACCCCTCCGCCATCCCTCCCCGCGTCAGCCCCCCCTTCCGCCCCCGCCACCCGCGAGGGGAAGCGCGGGGGCGGCGGGGGCGCGGGTGGCGCGTCAGGGGGGCGGAGAGACGCCGCGGATTCCGCCTTCCAGGAGCTGTCAGTGGCGCAAAGGCTAGAGCAGGGGCACGGGGGAGCGGGGGGATCCGACGCGGCCGTGCAGAGCAGCAGCTATGGCAGCGGATACGGGGTTAATGGGGGTGGGGGGGGACGGCGGGGCGGAAGCAGCACAAGCAGTGGGGGAGGAGGGAAGGGAGCGAGCGCGGGGGCAGCAGGGGGCGTGTTGGGATCAGGGGGGAGTGGCAGCAGCAGCAGTAGTAGTGGGGTTGTGACGGGGAGTGGTGCTGGGGAAGGGTTTGGCGCGCAGGTGGGGGGGAAGGGCGCGGGGGGGAGGGTGAATGCAGTGGTGGAGGGGGAGAGCAGCAGTAGTGGGTCTGCAGTGACCAGTGTGAACGGAGAGAGCTCGCAGCAGCAGCAGCAACAGAGGGGGCAGCGACAGCTCCCCACATCGGTATGTTCTGCTGACTCTGGCGTGCCCTTCCTTGCACCTGGCTCGGTCCGTTTCCGCAGCGCTCGTCTAGATTGTCTTGTAGCAGCCTTGTAGCGTAGCAGGCCTTTCCATTGCCCCCGCCTTGCATGTTCTTGACTAAACTCCAATGCATCCCCTTTGACAGTCCAATTTTCCTTCCATCCCTCCCCCTTTCTCCCATTCTCCACTCCTCCTCTCTCCCTCTCCGCCCTCCCTCTCATCCATCCCTCTCCCTCCAAAGAATAATCAAAGTAGTCGATGCGCTCTGTATCTTTGAAGTCACCGTTTTCCACTCTCTCTCACTCCTGCCCACTCTCACTCGCCCCTCTCCCCTTCGCTCCCCTTCCCCGCAGATCAAATGGCCCGAAAAGGCGGACAAGCTACAGAACATTATAGTCGACTCCCTCCCGGCCCTCGAAACTATCGTTTTTCCACACTTCCACACCCACTTCCTCACCCTCTTCCCCTCCCTCTTCCCCCTCAGATCAAATGGCCGGAGCAGGCAGACGAGCTGCTGGGCATCATAGTCGACTCGCTCCGCGCCCTCGAAACCGCCGTGCCGCAAGCCCAGGCCTACCCATACCCCGACCCGCCGCTGCGGCGCCGCCCGCACTCCGCCCGCAAGGTGGCGATGGTGCTGGAGCACGCGCCCCGGGCCTTCCAAGCCGAGATCCTAGGCTTGGTGCCGAGGCTGGTGGATGTGGAGGAGCATGGCGAGGCTGCAGCGGCGCTGCTGCAGCGACTGAGACAGCCCAATGCCGAGCCCATGATGCAGCTGCCGGTGAGTGTTGTCGATGCCACGTTAGAGTTGGTCACAAACTGACTTGCTGATTCAACTAAAGAGAAACCTGCTGCAGCGGCTCCGACAGCCTGGCTCGAGCCTCTGATGCAGATTAGATTCTTGGACACATGTCGGATTGTGGAGGCAGTGCCGCTGCTGCTGCTGCCGCCGCTGCCGCCGCCGCTGCCGCCGCCGCTGCCGCCGCCGCTGCCGCCGCCGCCGCCGCTGCTGCTGCTGCTGCTGCATGTGATGAGACAACTATGAGGGTGCCGAAACACAGTGCTCCTTGCTTGCTTCCCTTCCCTCTCACTGCCCCGCATTCCCTCTCCCTGTCCCTGTCAGGTGGTGGGAGTGCTGGTTCAGGTGAATTCTAAAATCAGATAATATATTATCTCGCACTTGTCCTCCTCATGCCCTCACTTCTTCAGGTGGTGGGAGCGCTGGTGCAGATGGAGTTAGACCCGCTCACCTGGTCGCTGGTACTCGAGGAGGCGGTGCTGCTGCTGCCACACACCACCGACGATGCCCTTGCTGCGGCTCTCAGCTTCGTGCTTAAAGCTGCCGCCGAGTGCCAGCAGCTCGCCCCTGCTGTAAGCTCCTCCCTCAAGTGTTATCCTCTGTATAAGCTGCATGTTGTTGCTGCTGTAAGCCTCTTCCGCCCTCAGCTTCGTGCTTAAAGCCACAGCTGAGTGCCAGCAGCTCGCCCCTGCTGTAAGTTCCTTCCTCCTGCTCTGCCTCCTCTCTCCCTTAATCACTCTCCCACTTGTTGCAGTAGTCTGTCAGTGAGATCACTGACTTGAGGCGCCACAAGGCACATCCTCCCCCGGCTTCCCTTACTCCTCTCCCCTCCTCTCCCAGGTGCGGGCAGTGCGGGAGCGGCTGCAGCAGCTGGGTCCCGCCGTCTCCCCGCGCGTACTCCACGCCCTCCGAGCCTCTGTAGTGGCCCGCGAAGACATAGCCATGGCCATGCTGAGAGACATAGACGCCGACACGCGCCCCTTCAACCCACACCTCCTCTCCTCCGCAATGGCTGCGGCAGCCGCGTCCCTCCCCTCGCTGCTGCCCATGGCCCAGATGGCGTCTATGGGGCAGATAGACCTCTCTCACTTGCAGCACTCGCTCACGCCTGAAGCTCTAGAGAGTCTCGCTGCGTTTGCCTCGGCCTCGGCTAACAGTGGGACTGCTGCGGCTGCTGCGGCGGCGGTGGCGGCTGCAGCAGCTGGAGGGGGGAGTGCCGGGGTGATGGCGAGCGGGGGCGGTGGTGGTGGAGTTGGAGGTGGGGTGGCAGGGGCAGGGGGTAGCGCTTCTGCTGGGGTGTCCGCGGGGGGATCTCCTGGGGGCGCGTTTACCAGCAGCGCTGCTGGTGGGGTTGCAAATTCTCTGACCGCGTTCTCCCCCTACTCCTCCTCCCCCGCCCCGGCGCTCCCCTCGTCTTCTCCTGCAGCTGCCGCGGCAGCAGCAGAGCTCCAGCTGGCAGCAGCACAGCAGGCTGCTGTCATGGCAGCAGCAGCCGCCGCCTGCTGGCGTGTCGCTGACGTGGACATGCTGATGGAGATGCTGACGCTGCCACGTCTGCGCGGGAACGCGCAGGCGGTGTTTGAGCGGGCGGTGGCGCGAGGGGCGTTTGGGGAGCAGGCGATGGTGATGGTGCTGGAGAGGCGCCGGTCTCAGCATCTTGCCTCGCTGTCTGCTGCATCGGCGGGAGGAGGGATGGACGGGATGAATGGGAGTGGCATGGCGGCGGGTGCTGCTGGGTTGCCGGCCCTGACGGGATCAACGACGGGTGGGAGTGAGGTAGGGGGGGATGAGCAGCAGCAGCAGCAGCAGCAGCAGCATCAGCAGCAGCAGCAGCAACAGCAGCAGCAGCCGCAACCCCAGCAGCAGCAGCAGAGGCAGCAGCAGGGGAAGCAGCAGCCGGCGCAGCAGCTTTCTCGAAAGAAAAGGCGACAGCAGCAGCAGCAGCAACAGCAGCAGCAACAGCAACAACAGCAACAGCAGCAGGAACAGCATGAGCGGTGTCTCGAGCCCTGCAGCTCCACTTGCACCGCCGGAGCAGCAGCCGCCGCCGCAGCAGCAGCAGCAGGGGCAACCATCACCCCGTCCTCTTCCCCCGCCCTCGACCCCTCTGGAAACGCCCTTGTCCCGTCCAGCTCCTCAGGGCTAGGCACCGGCCTGGAAGACACGGATTTCCCCACAGTGATCGGGCTCGCAGAGGCGCTGGCGATGAGTGAGGAGCAGCGCGTGCGGGAGTTTGTGGGCACGCTGTATGCGGTGCTGTACAAGGTGTATGGGGACGCAGGGCGCAGGGAGAGGATATTGAGAGGGCTTGTGGCGCGAGTGACGAGCTGCCAGCGAGGCGCGCCGGAAGGGGAGCTTGGTCTGGATATCTTGTCATTCCTGGTGAGTTGTGCCTTGGCTTGATGAATGCGCTGTGGGCTGTGTGTGTGGTGCTGGAAGGGCAGCTGAATCTGGGTTGTGCCTTTGCTTGATGGGTGCGCTGTGTGCAGTGCGGGTGGTGCCGGAAGGGCAGCTGGGTCTTGACGACCTCTTGTTCCTCGTGAGTCTTTGTGGCTGTGTGTGATGAGTGCTAGTCTGATGAATGTCTGGACCTTCCAAGCCTTTCCTCCCAAGCCTCTCCTCTCAACCCTCCCCTCCCAACCGTTTCCTCAAACCTCCCAACCGTTTCCCCAACCATCCCCTTCCCTCAAACCGGTTCATCATACTCTTTGGTTCTTGTCTCCCGACTCAATCTTTGAGGCACTTCAAAGAATGGGTTCTCTTTTCCTGATTGGCTCCCTGCCTGGGTACCCGCCCTCCCCTTCCCCTTCCTTGTGAATTCTCAAAAGCGTTCTCTTTTCTCAACTGACCCATACCCTCTTTGCCACCCTCGCCTTTCCCCCCCTTTTCCCACATCCTTCCCCACTCTCTCCAACCCCCGCCCCCCCTCCTCCCCCCTCTCCCCCCCATCGCCCTGCACAGGCGCAAGAGGAGGGGGTGGCGCGGCCAGTGCTGTCTCTCATGCGCGAGGCGGCTGACGTGGCGGTGCAGGAGAGGGCAGTAGTGTGGCAGCAGCTGCAGGCCACGGAGGGGGAGTTGCGGGCGGCAAGGGCGGAAGGGCAGGGGCAGGTGGAGCGGCACGGGCGGGAGAAGGCGAGCCTGCAGCAGAAGCTGAGCGAGGCTGAGGCGTCTGTGGGGAAGCTCAAGGTGAGGGCAGGGTGATGCAAGGTCAGGGTCAAGTTGAGGGCAGGCTCTCACTGTGGCCCGCTCTTCCCCGGTTAGGTTCCCACATGCCACTCGTCCCCGTGTTCTCTGCAGGCTGAGGTGAAGGCGGAGGCAGGGAAAGGAGCGAGCGAGAGGAGGGAAGCGGTGGAGCGGCTGAGGGAGATGGGGGGCGCAGTGGAATGGACCAAGGCGGAGAAAGACAGGCAGGGCTCAATCAGGCTCTCTCTTCCCCCGTTGTCCCGTACCAACCCTCGTTCCCTCCTGTGTGCAGGCTGAGCTGAAGGCTGAAGCAGAGAAGGGGGCGAAGGAGAGGCGCGAAGCGGTGGAGAGAGTGAGGGAGATGGAGGGCGCGGTGGAGTGGGCCAAGGCGGAGAAGGACGACGCGGTGAGCAAGCTGGCGGGGGAGAAGCGCCAGCTGGCGGAGCGGCTGAGGGAGAGCGAATCGCAGCTCACGCAGCTCAAGTCGCGCAAGCGGGAGGAGCTCAAGGTGAGCCTTTCTCTTTCTCGTCTTCGCTTCTTTCTGTTCCCGCTTAAGCCGCTTGAAAAGAATCGTAGGAGAGCGATTCATTGAGTCTGACTTTTATGTGAAGCCAGCCTTTCTTGCCTCTTGGATTCCGTATGATGTCGCACCAGTGTTACATGCCATGTGCCTCCTTCCTTCCTCCCCCTCCTCCTCCCTCCCCTCTTGTCTTCACCCTCTCCCCCCCGACTCCCTACGCCTTCCCCCTTCCCGCTCCCACTCCTCTTCCCTGCTCCCCTCCTAAAAACCAACAGAAAGTGGTGAAGGAGAAGAACGCCCTGGCAGAGCGCCTCAAGGCAGCAGAGCAGGCGAGGAAGCGGTTCGACGAGGAGGTCAAGCGCTTTGCCACGGAAACCGTGTCTCGCGACGAGGCTCGGCAGTCCCTGGAGGAGGAGGTTCGGCGGCTGACGCAGACGGTGGGGCAGACGGAGGGGGGCCTGCGCGAGAAGGAGGAGCAGGTGCAGCGATACGAGGCATACATTGATGGCATGGAGGCAAAGCTGCATGCCCACCAGGATTATATCCAAACCCTGGAGGCATCTCTTCAGGAGGAGATGTCTCGGCACGCGCCGCTGTATGGTGCTGGGTTGGAGAATCTGTCGCTTGCCGAGCTTGACACTCTGGCTCGGATTCATGACGAGGGGCTCAGGCAGGTTCGGCTGCTGCAGCAGCAGAGGCAGCAGCAGGGTCACCAGCCTCAGCAGCAGCAGCAACAGCAACAGCAACAGGCAGTTGCGCAAGCGCAGCAGCAGCCGCCGCAACAGCAGCTGCAGCAACAGCAGCAGCAGCATGCTCAGCAGCAGCAGGTGCACTCGCAGGCACACATGCAGCAGCACACACACCTGCAGCAGCAGCCATCCCCACCACCGCAACAGGCAGCAGCAGCAGCTCTGGCTGACAGCTTAGCTGTCGGCCCCTCATTGGACCACGCGGGCGCGGCTGCAGGCTCTGCAGCAGCGTCAGCCTCACAATCTCTCCTCGTTGCGCCTGCCCTGGGTGCTCTCTATCTCTCCAACCGTCCCACACCCTCGCACCCCGGGGCCATGCCCTCTTTACCCATGCCTGCTGCTGGCTTGGCCGGACCAGGTGTTGCCGGCCCTGCTGTGGCTGGGGTTCCAGGCATGGGGCCCGGGATGGGAGCGGGAGTTGCTGCTGCTGCTGGAGTGGGAATGGGCATTCGGCCTGTTCATCCTGCAAACGGCTTGCCGCCGCATGCGCTGAGTCATCCGGCCAGCGGTCTGACTCATCATGCTGCGGTGGCTTCTGCTGTTCCTGGTAGCAGAGTGCCTGCTGTGGCCTCGGCCAATAGCAGTCTGCCTTCCACCAGTGGGCCGCAGACGAATGGGCCGTTGGGTCCTTGGTTTGCTTCTCATTAGACTGTCCGTCTGTGGTTTCTGGTTTCGAATTGGTGTTTATCGTGCGAGCGACATATGTGATATCTTTTGGGCTCGAAAGGATGAGGGCTTGGAAGGATGCGTCTAAAGAGTCTCTTCTGTGGCTGAAATCTTGCAGTATCTCTGTGAAATGGTTGTGCTTGTGGTTAAGCTGACATGGTGTTTTCTGGCCTTAACCTATTTTGTAAGGAAATTACGAAGCAAAAATGGGAAATATATTGTGTTACAAATTTCAGATATTTGCAACTTTTCTCTCGTTGCAAATTCGTGGTGACCCGTGGTCTACTCGAGCCTCGGGTCCGGGACATCCGCCGCGTCGTCATACACCTGGGCTCCACTAATTTCAAGGCCCTAAATTGGGCACTCGCGGGTAGCTACCCTTATTATGTCTGGGACCAAGGGTTAGACATAGTGAAAAATATATTGAAGTGTGTAGGTTTCGGACTCCTTGTGAGGGCGAGAAGCAACGAAGGTCGCAACTAGAAAATTTTCCCCTCAGAGTGGGTGGTCGCCTGATCCACTGAGGGATTTATTGTTTTAAACAACCGTTGAGGAGAGCGTCCTCAATATCGTTGGGATTCTGGGTGTCTGAAAGATACGGCCGAATCTGGTCTAGGGTGTCTCTGAAAACATTTTCCAGGGCTTGAAATTAGTGGAGCCCAGGTGTATCCGCACACCACTGCGACCGGCTGTCGTTTCTTCCCATGAGGCAATCACTGCAAATACGTGTTGTCCCCGATATGATCCGATCCGCCTTGAGGGAACATCAGGCATGCGTTGATATGCTGTGCAAGCCAATCATCCCCCACTCGCCATAACTCAAATGAGGCATCAACTCCCGCGCTGATGAGGATAATTCTTAGCTTCGTTAGTCCAATCCTAGCCGTTCCGTGCTGCAACTGGATTCTATCGTCTTACCTTAGCCATTCTTTCTTCTGTCGTGCTTTCAGTTTCACCTCTTTCAGCGAGCCAATACGTACCAGTTCCCTGTAACTTGGATTCAGATTGTGCAATCTCCCTTTAGTATCCCCTCACCTTGCCTACTTGTGTCATTTGCATTTTGCGATTCTCTGATTCAGTCAGTCGTGCCGCTCTAGGAACTTCCTGCGTGAGTTTCCAGTGTCAGTATTCGCGCGATAACCTAAAGCGATGGACCTCGTACAAGATAATGCTGCGCAGACGCAAGTTTCTGAGCGGTCTGAGAGGGATTTGGAACAGTTCGGCATGCAGACGCAGGCTGTGAGCGACGAATTCGGTTCGACTGTTACGGACGACAGAGAGGAAGAGGGAGCTCCTTATGCTCATCATGAAGACCTGTCTCCAGAAGAGTGGAACAAAAGACGAGAGCAGCTCAAGTAAGCTTGTTTTTTTTTTTCGTCATATGGAATAGTCCTGGCGACCTTAGCCTTATGAAGCATGACTTGCCATGTCGATGTCGTGCAGGCAATGCCTAAGAATGCTTCAAAAATCGATACCGTCTTCACTGGTTGGTCCGGAGCCTGACGTGGCGGAGCTTCTAGAAAGCGCTGCTGCTTACATCAACTACCTGAAGGTCTGTTGCCAGCCTTTGAACGCTCTTTGCGTGTGCTTTTTTCCATGATTGTCTGTGGCTAGATGGTGGGCATTTTCCTGAAATCTCCCCATCTTTGTTTTGCAGACGTATAACCAGACCTTGGCTGTTGTAGTCGCCCATCAGCTATGACATTAGGGTTTGTTTCTTCCTCTTTTCTTTACTAGGGTTTGTATATTTTAGAATCGTCATATTTGCTTGCTTTGCTATCTATCTTTTAATACTGGTAACCGGAAGCCAGATCCTCCATTAGGTAACTGCTCGCACTTGATTGAAGGTGGCTTGTGAAATGTTGAAGTGCGGCTAGTCCATATGGGTAGTGTATGACTTTCAAGTACCGTACATTACTCGTCTTCATCCTTAATATGGTTGCTGGTTACATACCCCCGCCTGCTGTGTTATGAGTTGTAAAAGAGAGTGTGCAGGTAAACGGATAACGAGGCTGTGACTGAATCAACTGCGAAAACAGACTAATGTAGGGCTGGTCTAGCTAGGAGGAAACCTCGGATGAGCGAGGTTGGGTGCAGGTTTGGCGATGGGAATGCCCGAAGGCGACGCGAGGAGCCTCGGCGTGCGAACTCTGAAATTCGGGTTGTACGCGAAGCAGTCAACCCCGATAAGGAATTCGGGAAAATTCCTTACCGTACATGCTGTCTCAAATAATCATCATGTTATATAGGTTGTCTAACTGGTTCCGTAATATGAAAACAAGGGTTTCTCTGCAAGCATGCAATATATCTGAAATTCTTTGACATGTTTACAGTTGCTTAGCAGTCTACATGTATTGAATATATCAACTTATGGCAATGCGACACTTACATATATCCATCTACAACGCATCATCGACGAATAGGCAGCTTGGCCCACTGAGACAGTGAGAACTCAGCTGAATGGACCTAATTGCCTCTTTGGTCAGGCCAGGGCAATTCTTCAAGTTGAGTCCAGTGAGCTTCTGGCACTGTGTCATGATCTTCTTCAGACTCTTGTCAGTCATTCCCTGGCATCCGGCTAGGGAGAGATTGAGAAGCGTTGGCCCCACGCTGCTGACCAGAGCAGACAGTCCACGGTCACTGATCCTGCACATGGAAAGGTCCAAGTCTTCAAGAGCTGTGCACGATGAGGCTATGGCTCTCAAGCTGCGGTCGGTCACATTGGAGCAGCCATCCAGAGAGAGGGATTTCATTGAGTTGCCACAGCAACGTGAAATAGCAACCACAGCTTTGTCTGTAATCTGGGAACAGCCGCTGAGGTCCACGCTTGACAGCTTCGAACCGCAGCCTGCTACTAGACTAGTGACGCCCTTGTCCTCTGCGCCCGAAAGACCCGCCAACTCGAGAGACTGGAGGCTGGCGTTGCTGCGACCCAGCATCTCGAGACACCGGCGATCCACACCGTCGCAGTGGCTGATGCATAGACTGGTAAGTTTGGAGCAGGATCCGCTCCATATGCAGCACCCGCCCTTGCAACCCCCCTCATGTTGCTGCTGCTGCTGACTCGCCTCCTCAGAACCCCGCGCACAGGAAAGATTGGAGAGTTTGTGCAGAGTTAGCGACTCGAGGGATCCTGCTGCGTCAAGAGCGTCCTTAATCCCACAGCACGAGACGGCGGGACACTTGGACAAACTGAGACTCTTCACACTGCAACACCCCTCAACGATCGCCCTTAAAGCCTTGTTTGTGAGCTGCTTGCAGCCGGCGAACGTGACGGATTGCAGGCTCTGAAATCCTTTCGACTGACCAACTCCTCTGAAACCCTCTTCTGTCAACAAAGGTAAATCTGACAGCTTCAGCCATTGAAGACCACCCACGTGTTCACCCACCAGTTTCAAACCAGCGTCTGTAAGGCCAATCTTGCCTGACAGTCGCAACCGCTTCAGTTCCTTGCAAGAAGATCCCATGAGTTTCAATCCATACTCGTTCACCAGGGGCAAGTCCGACAGCGCTAGAGACACCAAACGCTTCGAGCCGGAGGCAATGGCGGCGAGGAACGCGTTCGACGCGCGAGGACACCCTGAGACGCTGAGATTCAGGAGCTCGTGGCAGCCACGCGCGATCGCGGACAGGCCCTTGTCAGTGGCACGCGGACAGTTCATTATATCGAGCCGGCGGAGAGCCTTGCAACGGGACGCGAGCATCCGGAGCACCTCGTCGTCGACGTACGGGCAGTTCCAGAGAGTCAGCGACAGCAGCCCGGGACTCGCGCCGACAATCGCCTGAAAGCCGAGATTGGTGAGGCGCGTCGGCGTGGAGATTGCCGAAACCGCTGCGAGACGGTCCCCACGAACCACTAAGCGGCTGAGTCCGCCGCGGCTAGGTAGGCCGATGGCCATCGAGAGAAGCCGCGTGTCCGAGGCATGCCGGCCCTCTAGGCAACGCGACAAGTCACCAGCGGTACTCGGTACCGACTGTTTCTCGGAATCTGCAGCGTCGGAAGTATTTGCCTCTGTTTTCGTCGTCAACGGACCTATGGCGAAGGGAGCAGCACCGTTCCAGCCCAGAAGGCCCTGGATCTGAAGCCAACGACGGCAGACGAGAGCGCAGGAGCCGCGGTCGTTGGCGTTGGGTAGGAAGGAAAAGATGTGCGACAAGCACTCGTCTGGAAGGTCGTTGGTCAGGTCCACGGACTCCCGGCGGTGAGACGACAGCATGCGCTTCGCCCATGGTAGGTCCTCCGCGATGAACGAATGGGGTGAAGGCTCAGGCGAAGCGTCCTCGATATAATCTGATTCCTCCGAAGCCCAAAAGTTATTCGAGTCTGGGTTAAGGGAGAGCTCTGAACCCCATCGCCTGACTAGTTTCTGTGTGTCGGCTTGATTCCTGTCCTGCTGGACGCGGGAAGAGGCCGCTAGCCAAGAATTGTCGAAACACATTGTGGTATAGCGCTAAGGATGTCGAACAGAATAGAGACAATCCTAACGACGAAGGTAAGAACGACTACGCGAAGTCGCTCCGAGAATCACAAAATGTGTTAGCCGACACAAACTACGATGGAAAGCTTTAGTTGCTGGAGATTTTAGCTGCTAGACACTTCAATTGGTCCGCCGGGGTGAACGAACAAACGTATGGAAGCAAGAATGTGCAGAAGCGGCAGACAATTGCAAGCAGGGGAGTGAACCTATAGCAGGCAATGGCGGCGACGGGCTTTGGGAGGAAGCACGGTGTCAGGCCGATGGATCAGTGACAGGACGCCAGCGCGAAGGGGAGGGTGGTGCACTTGCCAAGCTACGGGTTACCATCTTGCCACGGAATCGCTGCACTGCATTTGCAGCTTCTCCTCCTGAAGTTGAGGCTTGGAGCCATGGAGGCGAAGGGACTGGGACGGAATAGTGGATGAGGTGAGAAGAGAGGAGAATCAGAGAGATTTGGAGAGGAAAGGAGATATCGCCACTTGGAATGGTGAAGGGGTGGAGTGGAGGCTTGTTGCGGGGCGAGTGGAGTGGTGGAGAGAGGTGAGGAGGAGCGGGTGGAGGAGAGGAGGGAGGAAAGGACGCCCACGTGCTTCACTCCTCACTAAAGGTGGAGGAGAAAGGAGAAACGCCAGAGGAGGCGAGGCGAGGCGAGGTGAGCTGATACGGGTTGCTTGCTTCCCATGGACCACCGCGCACAGAGACAAACCGTGCAGGTGTCCTCCTCCGCGTGTCAGCTGGCGCGTTCATGAACTGGATGCTGCTGACGCAGCAGAAACCCATTGCTGGAGAGGGCCACGCTGGATTGACGGATCAATCGGACGGCCGCCATTGCTGCGAGAATGGTGTCAGTTCTTGCAAAAACGGCTGCCCCAACCATCCAACATTCGGGCGAATCTTGTGAATGTGCACGGCGTTCGGGCAGGTAAACTGTGGTGAGTTGGATCTGGTCAGGACTACAAATGTGATGGGATCTGCTTCCACAGGGCGAAAATTTGCATCGTTCAAACCACTGGCGGTGCCCTCCTTTCCCCACCAAAGCAGCTCAACACCGCACTCCACAGAATTTTATCCATACATGTGCGGGATTCTGCAAAGGCAGGCAGTGTTATCGCAACGAACGGTGGAGCTCTTAAACTACCCGATTATATTCTCCCTTGCGTAAACAATCCTTTCGTTTTCAAACTCACAGGCAGAACACGGAAGGCAAAGCTGAGATGTGGAAAGGAGAGGGGATGGGAAGGGGAAATGAGGATAATTCGTGCTGTAAGATTAGTTTTCCAATCACCACTACTTAGGGAGAATTCGTGGCCCGTGTCAGACTTCAGGTCAAAGGCCCTTTGTCTCCAATTCGGCTCATCCGAACTCGGATTTGCCTCACGAACGAGCCACTTCGGGTCTTCCGAGCCTCCACTTCGGGTCTGACCTGATGTCTGACACGGGCTACGAATGCGCCCTTATTGGTGTGTTTGTGTGTGTGCGACCCTTCACAACAGGTGCATGTTACCATCCAGACTTGTGGGAACACGGTGTACCTTCCTTCGTCAATACGACCCGCCAGGTTCATGCTCTACCACAACACTAGACCTAAATTATTACGAACAATCAAAGAGCGCATCTGGACCAGGGGGGTTGCACGCCAGCGCATGAAGTCACTCCATTCTGATTGGGTAGAACATGTACAGCGCAGCCATCTAATCATACTCTCCCGCAACCTTTCGAATAATGCCCGTTGTGCATCTGGAGACACGATCTTCATTCGGATCTCCACAGAACCGCGGCCATTGAACCTATCCTCATTCCTGACAACGGTACAGAGCGTTTGTCTACTTTTGCTGCAAGATATTTATCATCTACTGTACCGAAACTACCCAATAACAGTATTCTGAATACTAAGCCATAACACATAACGTCTGAATTCATTCTTCTTTTAAATGCACATTGGTTGAGTTTGTAGGATTTGGTGGATAAATGTCAAAACATCACATCACTTCAACAATATTTTCATTCAACACACATTGCAAAGCAGTTTCGAATATGTTTTCTGCTGTATAAATAACTTTGGAAGATATGATATTTCATATTCATCTCATGATATATTATGCAGCTCGATAAACAGAGCCCGATATTCGCTTGTCTCCACCATATCATACTGATTGCATTTGCGCCTTTCTGGATAAATGAGGTCAGGTTATCATCTTCCATTGTTTGCAAAGTTTCCCTCTATCAAAAGGCCTCTACCGCGAATACAAGTTTGAATTGCATTCGCGCTCAAACATTTGAGGAAGTCAGGTTGGCCGTACGATGTGATGGGCGGTTCGTCGATGAGAAATCTTGAAAGCTTTTGACATAGCGGCGCGACTGGTGTGGAGGATTAGGCCAATTCGAGCCAAAATTTGTTGGTCTTGCAACCCGTTGCAAGCTCATGGAGGCGCCAAACCACTGACGGTTAAGATTGCTCCAGTCATATGAATTCTCGGGGTTAACGGCAGCGATGCCCCTCCGAAATTTGAATTCCTTCTAACCAAGTCCATCAATCACCGCACCAGATGCTCCTCATTCTTCCATCGCCTTTCAACCAGCTCGTTTCTCGGGGGCACTCCACTCCACAGCTCCTCTCCTCCACTCAACCAGAGCCGCCCGATTTCGCCGACCAGCGGCACCCATCGGCCACAAGAAACCGTACCCGTACGATAATGATTCAGAAAACAAGACATTCAGAGCAGTGCAACCCGCAAAAGAGGTGCTTTTCTCAACGCGAGCTTATGGTGCGAACTCTGGACCAGACGCTCTCGACAAACTAAGCTAGAACTACTAATGCGTTGTGTTAATTCACCTCGTTTTAGCTATTCAGGGTCTTATCGAACTTACCAAAGTCTTTCCTATGACGTAAGCTTGGGCCAGGATTGATCCATTTTAGGCGCTAGCTTGTACGAGCTCATGACGTAAGCTAGAACGATACAGTCATGTATACAGCTGACGATAACTCGCCATCACCGCGGCGACGACGACCGTTTAAGGTCACCACAGCGCCGTCAGCGGCCGTTCCCGCTGAAAAAAAGCGGAGGCGTACGGTCGGAGTAACGTTGCCACACCGTGAGATCGTAACAATGTCACCACTCGCTTCTTCTCCGACTGCAAGGCTACTCGGCTCTGGACGAAGCGGCGCCGCGGCAATTCTTCTGTCCCTAGGTGCGTGGCTACACAAAGCGTCGAACCATGACTTGACGAACTATATTTGAGTCTCGGATCCGATTGTCCTACGTGCAAGCAACTGCCCTTTAACGTGTCAGAGAACAATCACTTCAGATGGATTCGCACCCCAGCACCGCCCTTGACCGAGCTTTTTTTCTCCCAAAGAGAGGTCTCACCGTTTCCTGCTCCTCCAGATTCTTTAATCCCTCGTTCCTCCTGCTTTGTTCCTTGGTTCCCACGCGGCTTCTTCTTGTTTCCTTCCAGTCTGCCCTTTCAATGTTTCCAATCTCCCACCAACACGTTCAACTCAACCAACCCCTTGACATCGTCTCCTCTCCGTCCCCCTTCTCGCTTTTCATCCCTCCAACCACCACCCCAACAGTGCTTCTTCTTGCAACACCGATTACCACACCCCCACAAGCCGCTGCGACCGCTGTTTCCGCTGGAAACTCAAGGACCGCCGCGGCAGCGCTCCTAGCACGCTCCGCAATCCCCGGGCCAACACCCATCGCCAACATCCCCCTCTTCCCCGCCGCCTCTCCCGCCGCCGCCATAAACGCAGGAGCTGGCGGGAGTGACGTCACTCATCCCGCTTCCGCTGCCGCCTCCCCCTCCGCCTCCCCCAGTACAGCTTCCGCTGCTCCTCACATACCATCCGCCCCCGCCGGCACTCCTTCAGCCATCCTTCCGCTTCCGCTTACCGCCATAGTCCCCGCCAAGAAAACCGCTACAGCTGCGGCTGTAGCGCCCGCGCCTGCGCAGGGCTCCACGTCACCGCCGCCCAAATCCCCTCCCGCCATGACTCGTGGCGGAACGGCAGGCGCGGTCAGCTTGGAGCGCGCACCGGTAGGGGCGGAGATTCTTCTGAACGCCGTGAAGGCCGCGGGGCTGCGCGCGCGCGCGAGCGCGTGCGTGTTTGACGCGGAGAAGCGGACATTCGAGCTGGTGGCGGGGCTGAGTACACTGTAAGTGGAATGCGCCTGAAGGGGATCCGTTACCAGCGCCTACTTGAAGTTCTAAAACAGTCATCTGTCCCATTAATAATATAACAGCCCGACGCCACCTCAGGCAACTTTCTGAAACTGCCTATGTCGTAAGTGAAAAGTTTCATCAGAAGTTGCTTTGATTTATTATAAAATTTCTCGCTGTTATTTCAAGCTTGCGCTTTTGCCTCCGTTTCCGATTCTTCGCCTGCTCGCAGAATTGCGCTCAACGCGACGGACGCGTGGGCGCCTCCCATTGGTCGGAAGGTGCTGACGAACGACTGCCAGTTCTTGATCGACGCCACGTGTCAAGATGTCACGCCCACTGGAGGATGCGACGACCACAACGAATGCACGACTGACACGTGTGTGCCTGCCAACCCAGCCACATGTTTGCCTTATCCCGACTGCCTCTTAGCAGGCCCGTCCTGTTCCTATACCGCGTCCCCTGGTAGTGAAACGAACCCAGCTTGCATCGCGCCGCCAACTCCCCCGTCTGCGCCTAAGGACTCAGTTTCGTCCGCTTCCGCCAATGTATCCGCGGGCGGTGGCGGAAGCGGGGACGAGGGGGAAGACGGCGGAAGCGGAGAAGGCGAGGGGAAAGACGGTGAAGGGGGGAAGAACGCGGGAAGTGCGGATTCGGATGCGGAGGGGGGAGAGAAGGGCGCGAGCGGGGAAGGGGAGCAAAGCGGCTCAGACGACACGTCTGCTTCGGTTGGCGGCGATGCTTCTAACGAGGATTATACCGGAGATAATAACGAGGACGGGTCAGACGACACTATCGAGATCGTGGGAACCATGCCGCCGCCTCGCAGCGCGTGCATCTTCATCCCCAATAAGAACCGCTTCATGATCCGCTTAAAGAACCGCTTCCGCGTCCGCCTCTCCGCAAGCGACGCGTGGACGCCGCGGCCCGGGCAAGTCGCCATGACCGGTAATTGCCGGTTTATAATCGACTCGGCGTGCGGGGTGGTGGGGAGGCCGGGGGGGTGCGACGACGGGGACGAATGCACGGACGATTACTGTCTATGGCAGGGCGGGAATAACACTCTCGGGAGTTGCACGCCGTTCCCGTCGTGCTTCTATGAGAGCGCGCGGTGCGAGAGGCGTGTGAAGGAGGAGTGCGTGGGGAGAGTGGAGGCAGGAGGAGGGGGAGGGGGAGCGGGAGGGGGGCAAGTGGGGGATGGGGGGTTTGCGGCGGGTGGCGGAAAGGGGATTCGGACGGTGACTAGTGCCGGTGCTGCCGTGACTGGCGGAGCTGACGGCGCTGGCGGCGGCGATGGTGGTGACAGCAGGAGTGACACAGGGGCGGGTGAGACTAAAGCTAATGGCAACAGCACAGCCACTGACGGAAAGGAGAGCGGCGGCAGTAATGGCCGCGGCGATGGCAGCGGTGATGGCGGCGGCGATGGCGGCGGCATGAGCACGGAGGATATCGAGGCGTTGGAGGAGGAAGCACTAGCGCAGCGGCAGGCGCACGGGCAAGGGGCGCAGCAGGATTCCCCGGCAGACCAGGACGATTCACCAAACTCGGCAGAATCAGGCTCGGAGGACCCGGACTTCCTCGCCCCGCGCCTGCGCGCCCCGCTCCCCCGCCCCGCGTGCCTATTCCGCCCGAAGCAGGGCCTGTTCATCCGCGTGGAGGGCTGGCCGTTCTCCGCGCGCCTCTCCCGCGCGGACGCGTGGGCACCGCCCCCCGCCGCCACGACCCTTTCCGGCGATTGCCGCTTCGAGCTCGACTCGTTCTGCTCGGTCGTGTCGCGCGTCGCGCGCGGGTGCGACGACGGCGACGCGTGCACGCTCGACACGTGCGCTTGGGCGGGACGCGCGAACCGCGTCGGCAGCTGCGAACCGTTCCCGTCGTGCTTCTACTCCTCCGCATTCTGCGTGCACACGGACCTTTGCGGAAGGGTGGGGGGAAACCACACGCGCGCGCGGGGAGGGGTGGTGAAAGAAACGATGGTGGGTGGTGGAGGCGTGGGGGGGAATTCAGATGCGGGGAGCGGTGGTGGTGCTGCCGCTGACGGGACTGACGCTGATGCTGACAGTGATGGTGATAGCACTGATGCTGATGGTGCTGTTGATGCCAACGCTGGTGCGGATGGTGATGGTGATGGGGATGCTGACGAGGTGAATGACCCTTACTCCGATCCTCCGGATCAGGAATGGCCCAACTTCCAGATCTACCCTCCCCCCAAAACTGGTTTGGTGGTGGAATCTTCACAGAACCTTCCCTCTGGCGAAGGAGGAGGAATGTCCGACGCAACCGCCCCGACCACCACGCAAGACGTGCTCCGCACGCTTTCCCAGCCTATCCCCTTTACAGACACCTCCGTTTCAGGCTCTTTCAACGTGTACCATTTCGGCGCACTGGGCGACGGGCAGAACAACGATGGCGAGGCTATTGAGGCAGCTTTTAACGAAGCATGCAAGTGGGCGCGAAACAATAACGCCAAAGCAACGGTCACGATTCCTGCTGGAGCTGATTTCCTCACCACCCCCATGGTATTTTCGGGGCCCTGCGGGCCAGGTGTCATCTTCTTATTGGACGGGAGGATTCTGGCTCCAAACATGCCCGTTTCTTCCTACCAATCGGCTTACAGTGTGGTGGCGCATCTTTTTTTTGACCGGGTGACCGGGCTGACCGTGACGTCGTCCGGGCAGGGCAGGCAGGCAGGGAGTTTTGACGGGCAGGGGCTGGAGACATGGCGAGAACATTTGTCGCTCGGGCAGCCAGACTCATATGCCCGACCAAAGGGATTGTCTTTCCAAAAGTGTGATAATCTCGTTATAGAGCAGATTACTGTACGGAACCCGCCTGAGATGCACATCAGCATACAGGAGTGCAACAATGTGATTGTACAGGAGGTGACTGCAATGAGTCCGTACAACAGCCCTGGCACTGACGGGCTGCACCTGGCCGCTGCAACGAATGTGATTATAAGGAACTGCAGGATGCACACGGGCGGCAACGGCATCGCTATAGTGGATAAGAGCGCCAATATCAGCATCAGCCGTGTGTTCAGCTCCGCTGGCCGGGGAATCAGGTGAGGGCAGAGGGGAGGGATTGGGGGATGGCTGAGTATGAATATCTGTGGGTAGAATCAGTAGTACCCCACCAGTGCAACATCAGCATCGGCCATGTTTTCAGCTCTGCTGGCCGGGGCATCAGGTGAGGGCGGATGGGAGGTAAACCCGAAACGGGTGAGTATGGATACCTGTGGGTATGAGTTTCTTCAGGTATGAATACTTGTGGGTAGATTCAGTAGTACCCTACCACCGCCAACATCAGCGTCAGCCATGTGTTCAGCTCAGCTGGCCGCGGCATCAGGTGAGGGCGGACGGGAGGTATGGGGGAAGTAGAAGTCTGGTTCTCTGTGTGTATGATAAGCTGTGAGGAACTGTGAGTATGACATGCCACCCTTGCTCTTACGATCCCCCTCCTCTCCGAACCTTCACCTCGTCCACCAAATGGACTCCTCACACCCTCCCTCCAATGCACTCTCTCGGTCGTTCCACACATCCCCCACTCTTGACCTCCATTGCCTCCCTCCTCTCTCTGTCCCTCACCGCCCCTCATTCTCTCCCCCCAGGTTTGGATTCCACCACCCCTCTCTTGTCTCGCCTCCTTCAGATCTCTCACTTTCCCCAAACCACCAACCCACCTTCCCTAATTCCACCTTCCGCTTTTCTCCCCTCCCTACCCCCTGACAGCATATTCAATCTCGGCCGGGACCACTTCACGGCGTGTGTAACGAATGTGACTGTAAAGAACGCGACGGTGTACGGAGGGAGGAACGCGCTGCGCATAAGCACGTTCCAGGGCGGCAGGGGGTGCGTCTCCAACGTGCACTTTGCTGACGTGGAGGTCATCGAGACAACCGAACCAATTAAAATCGACCAGGTCAGCGGATTCTCCTTAGTATGTGAAGACCCCAGTTAGGGTCTGTCTGGCCCCACAGGTGGCTGTCAGGAAGCATACCTAATAAAAGAATCATACCTGTTGCTTCTGAAACTTCTTCATCACGACCTGAATGAGGACAAGTACTTGTTTTGAAACTGGAGCAACAGTAGCTCTTGCCACGCATGCAATCACCTCCTGTTGTTGTATCTCCCTCTCACGCATCTCACCTTTCACCACCCTTCACCTCTCCACCCATTGGCAGACCCGATGCAGTGACGGCTCCTACAGCTGCAGCAGTAGCACTGATGCTGACGATGACAGTGACAGCGATGATGCTGGTAACACTGTTACCACCAGCAGCAGCAGCGGTGACAGCACTAACAGCAGCAGCGGTGACAGCACTAACGGCGGCGGCGGCGGCGGCGGCGGGAGCGGCGACGCAGTGGCGATAACCAACGTGTCGTTCCGGAACATCTACGGCACGAGCAACCACACGCACGGGATCTACGTGCGCTGTAGCCCCACCGTGCCATGTGTCGGCGTCTCATTCGCCGACATCAACATCACCCCCAGCAGGAGCCTGCTCAAGGCCCAGGCGGCGGAAACACAGCTACAGCCGGAGAGGCAGCTACAGCCAGTAATGGAAAATGTACTGGTGACGCCTGGGAGCAGCATCAAGTCTCCCTTGGGAATTCCGGAGCTGAAAAAGGAGGTTACGGCGGAGGAGGAGGGGAGGATACGCGCGATGATGAGCGTGTGTGAGTACCCGTTCCGTGTGGTTGATTTGCATGCTATCCTGGCTCCTTTTCGCCAGGCTGGCGCGAAGATCCAATCGCATGATGACACGTCAGATGTAGGTGAGGGAGAGAGGGGGGTTGGGGAGGAGGGGGGGGAGGAGGGGTCTGGGCTGACTGCGGTGGAGAGCGGTGAGGGTGGTGATAGTAACGGGAGTGAGAGTAGTGGGGTGGGAGGGAGAGAGAACGGGGAGATTGATACTGGGAGGGCAGGGGAGGAGGATGAAGTGCCTCCGTTGCAAGCTAAAGAGGCGACAGGAAGTGACACGGGAGGAGGAGAGGAGGGGGGAGAGAGTGGAGCGAGCAAAGGGGGAGAGAGTGGAGAGGAGGGTGGGGATAGTGAAGGAGGAAAGGGAGGAGAAAGTGGAGGAGGAGATGGTGGGGATGACGGGGGAGGGAGTGGAGAGAATGGAGGTGAGAGCAGTGAGGGGAAGGAGGGTGACAGCAAGGAGGGTGCAGCATCGAGCAAGCAGGAGGAGGAGAAGAAGAGGAGGGAGGAGACGCTGAAGCGAGTGAGGGAGGCGAAGAGCAAGAGGGAGGCACTGCGGCAAAAGTGGAGGGAGGCGAGGGCGAAACGAGGCGGAGGGGTGGCGAAGCCGACCCAGGTGGACGGGGATGGGGCTAAGGTAGCGGAGGGGAGTGGGGAAGGGAGTGAGGGAGGAGGGAGTGAGGGAGGAGGGGAGGAAGGGGGCCAGGGCAGCAGTGGAGGAGAGTCAAGCGGCTCTAGCACCCCCAGTGGTGGGGGTGGAAGTGATGGCGGTTCATCCCAAAAGCCCAGTGGGACTGGTGGGTCGAGTGACGGAGGAAAGGACGATGGTGGCACCAGTGCTGGTGGTGATGGTGATAGTGGGTCTGGATCAGCGGAAGGAGAGCAAGGGGGGGACAGCAGTTCGGGTACGCAGGCGGGTGGAGGAGAGGAGGGAGGAGGAGAGGAGGGAGGAGGAGAGGAGGGAGGAGGGGAGGGTGCAGGAAACGAGGGTGCAGGGGACCAAGGGAGTGAGGGCAGTGCCGATAATAACAGTGGTGGTGATACTAGCGCCGGTGACAATGGCGGTGATAGTGGCGGTGATAGTGGCCGTGATAGTTCCAGTGATAGTTCCGGTGATAGTTCCGGTGATAGTTCCGGTGATAGTTCCGGTGATAGTTCTGGTGATAGTAACGGAGATGGCAATGGAGGAGGGGAGGAAGATACAAGTGGGGGCGGAGGTGGAGAGGAGGAGACAGGCAATGGGGGAGATGATGGTGCAGGAGGAGGAGGAGAAGGAAGAGAGGGGGGGGCAGGAGGAGGAGAAGGAGGGGGGGGGAGGAGGGGGGGGGAGGGGGAGGAGGGGGAGACTGGGGCGAAACCCCCCCAGCGGACTATACCGCGGACGACACCAGTGACGACACCAGCAGCGGAGGTGATTATAACGCGGATGGAGGCGCAGAGGGGGAGGAGGGAGGTGGGGGAGACGGAGGAGGGGGAGAGGGAGGAGAGGGCTCCGATGGGTCGGGAATAGATCCGTACGACCCTCTAGGCTCATCAGCGTCTGGTGGTAATGGTGGGAGTGGTGGTAGTGGTGGTAACAGTGCTAATAGTGGTTATGGTAGTGGTGGTGGTGGTGGTGGTGGTGGTGGTGGTGGTGGCAGTGGTGGCGGCAGCGCCAGGCAAGGGGGCAGCAACAGCGGTAGCAGCGGGAATGTGCAGGATGGAATATCATTGGGAAGCCGCACCAGCAGGAGTGGCACCGGCAGCACTGGCGGCACTGGGGGAAATAGGAGTCCCGAGGAGGTTGTTGGGGCCACTGGTGGTGGCACAGGTGGTGGCACTGGCGGTGGCACAGGCAGGTACGGCGGAAGCAAAAGGCCTGATTACTCCTCGCGTGAGACCCCTTCTGGACCTTCAGGTGGCTTTTCAGGTGATTCCTCAGGTGATTCTTCTGGAGAAGGCTCCTCAGGAGACTCAGCACTAGAAATCGACCCGTATGATCCGCTGGCTTCGGTTGAAAAGGGAGCGACAGGAGGCGGAGGAGGAGGAGGAAGGGGAGGAAGCAGGGGTGGTGATGGCACTGCCAGTGGCAGTAGCAGCGATGATACTGGCTCAAGCAGTCATGGCGCAGGCAAGGGGAGCAGCAGCGGAGGTGGGGCCCTGAGCTCTGACACAGCCAGCCGCAGCAGCAGCAGCAGCAACGGTGGTCGTAGCAGTGGCGGTGGCAGCGGCGGGAGCAGCAGCGGCGGCAGCAGCAACAGTGATGGGAACGTGTTGCTAGATGGGGGTGGCGGCAACAGGCTTATAGAAGGCGGGGGCAGCCGCAGCAGCAGCGGTGGAAAGGGCAGCAGGACAAGTGGGTACAGCAGTGCGGGGAGCAACGGGTATTATGGGAGCGGAGGGGGCAGCTGGAGAGGCAGAGGCATGCCGAATGACCCGTGGCGAGGTGCTGGGGGAGGGAACACGCTGGGAGGCGGAGGGAATGGTGGGAGTAAGGGCAGCAGCGGGGGGCAGAGTGCGAGTGGGGTGCAGAAGGTTGGGAAGAGCAGCGGAAGTGGCAGCACTAGCGACAGCAGCAGTGGTGGTGACGAGGAGGAGGGGGGAAGCAGTGGGAGTGAGAGCAGTGGTGGCACTGCAGGGATGAAAGGGAGGAACCAGCACGGGGGGATAGGATCGAACAAGGTCGGCCCGATGCCAGATGATAAGACCACAGGGGGAAAGCACAAGAGCCATAGCTCTGCTCCCAGCAGCGGTGATTCCCCCAGCAGCAGCAGCAGCAGCAGCAGCAATGACTCCCTGAGCAGCAGTGGTGGTTCGTCCGGCTCCTCCTCTTCACCTGCGCCTGATGCGAATTCTGAAGGGGATGGTGGGGACGGTGGGAGCGAATCAGGTGGTGACACGCCGGATGCTGGTAATGCAGGAGGGGAGGGGGAAGGCGGAAGCAGCGATGGGGGCAGTGGGGGGGGCAGTGGCAGTGGAGGGGGGTTCGTGGGGCACAAGGAGAGGCAGGAGAAGGCAAGGCGGGAGAAGGAGCGGCAGGGGCAGCACCTGGGGTACAAGGAGAGAGGGGGTGCTGGGGAGACTTCTCCTTCGGGCGGATCCAGTGATAAGAACAGTGGTGACAGTAACAGCAGTGACAGTAGCAATGACAGTAGCAGCAGGGATAGCAACGGAGGTGACAGTAGCGGCAGCGGCAGCGGAAGTAACAGTAAGAGCAGTGATGGCAGTGAGAGTGGCAGTGTTAGCAGTGGTGGTAATGGGTCAGGTGGAGGAAGTGGAGAGAGCAGTAGCAGCGACAATGATGGTGGCGATGACAGCAGCAGCAGCAGCAGCAGCAGTGGTGGTGGTGGCACTACCGAACCTGGAGGCGGTGAGAGTGAGGCAGAGAAGGCTGGTAGCAGTGACAGCAGCAGTGACAGCAGCAGCGGCGGCGGCGGCGGCAGTAGCAGCAGCGACGGCGGCAGCAGCGGCGGCGGCGGCGGCGGTGGCAATGATGTTAGCGGTCCCCGGTCAACCCAGAGCAGTAGCAGCGGCAGCATTGGAGCAACAGCAAAGAAGCACGGCAAGAAGAGAGGAGGCAAGGGAAGTGATGGAGGAGAAGGGAGCGTATGGTGGGACGCCGTCAGCAAGGTGGGGTTGCCGAAGAAGGGGAAGAAGAAGGGAGGAGGAGAAGGGAAGACGGCGAAAAAGGATGGTGGGGGGGGGGGGAACGTTCCAGTGATAGGAGGGGTGGGAGGAGGAGGGGAAGGCGGAGAGTTGTCTAATGGGACGAGCTCCTCTCTGGATTCCTCTTCGAGTTCCTCATCAGATACCTCCTCAAACTCCTCTTCTGATTCCTCTTCTGATTCCTCTTCTAACTCCTCGAGTTCTTCGCCCGATTCCTCATCCAATTCCTCTTCGAGTTCGTCGTCGGATTCTGGAAAGGCGGATTCGTCAGGTGATGAGGCTGCTTCAGAGGGTGGTTCTTCGGATGCAGCTGGGGGGACCGAGGGTGCTGGTTCGGGGGAGGCGGGGGGGAAGGGGACGGGTGGAAAGAATGAGACCGTGGACGCGGGTGGGGAGAAGGGGGGTGATGCAGGCGACGAGGGCTCAGGAGAGGGGGAGAATGAACAGGAGGGGGAAAAGGGGGGTGGTGAGGGAGGGAGTGCGGGAGGAGAGGAGGCATCACAGGATGGGCAAGGGGACAAGGGGACGGATGGGACAGAAAAAAGCACGGCAGAGGAAGGGAGTGGCGAACAGGTAGAGGAAGAGCAACGAGCAAAAAACACCACGAGCAGTGGGGAGGTGAAGAGCGGAGGAGGAGCAGATCCGCCCACTGGGAGCAGTGAGGAGAAGGTGACAGGCGATGGAGGGGAGAAGGAAGGGGAGGCAAGTAACACCACAAGCAGTGAGGAGGAGAAGGGGGCAAGTGATGGAGGGGTGAAGGAAGGAGAGACGAAAAACACCACAAGCAGTGAGGCGGTGAAAAGCGGAGGCGTAGTCCCGCCCACGAGCAGTGATGAGGAGAAGGTGGCAAGTGATGGTGTAGCAGAGTCCCCCAACGGGAGCAGTAAGACTGACTCTAGTGGAAACGATGGTAACAGCTCAGGCAACAGTTCTGCCAGCTCAGACAACTCAGGCAACAGTTCTGCCAGCTCAGACAACTCAGGCAACAGTTCTGCTAGTTCGGACTCGAACCCGGAAACTGACAAATTAGGTGATAGTTATGACAGCCTGGATAAATCTGACGACTCAACCACCAGTTCTGACAGCTCAAACACCAGCTCTGACAGCTCAACCACCAGTTCCGACAGCTCAACCACCAGTTCTGACAACTCAGCCACCAGCTCTGACAGCTCAACCACCGGCTCTGATAACTCAACCGCCAGCTCCAACAGTTCAACCACCAGCTCCGACAGCTCCGAGTCAAAGTCTGACAGCTCCGAGTCAAAGTCTGACAGGTCAGAGGCGCAATCTGACAGCTCAGGCACGGAGGTTTCTGGAGAGGAGAGCGGCGACGCGGGTGAGGAAGGAAGCAATGCGAGTGCGCCTTCTGTTGGGGATGGTGGGGATGGAGGTGGGGGGGGTGAGGGGAGCAGTGGTGGAGTGGGAAGCGGTGATGGCACCGACAGTGGATCAGAGGCAGGGGAGGGTGCTGGGGCGCAAGCATCTGATGGTGCAGGGGCAATAGCACCATCTGTTGGGGAGGATGCTGCTGAGGCTCCAGCATTAGACATGAAAGAGGCTGCAACGACAGCAACAGCACCAGCATCAACACCACCACCAGCATCACCGGCACCACCATCAACACCAGCTCCAGCAGCAACGCCAGCAGGAAGTGAGGAGAACTCGTCCTCACCTTCAGCAGCATCAGCAACTGTGTCATCACCATCTGCACCACCATCGGCAACACCACCAACAGGGGAACCAGCAGCACAGGCGCCGCCATCGGCACCAGCAGCAGCACCCGCAGCGACCTCCACTGCAAACCCTCTCACTTCCTCTTCCCCTCCCCCTCCTCCCAAAAAGAAGAAGAAACAAAGCTCCCAGTGGGTCTGGTGGCCGTTTGGAAATGGAAAAGGCGGGGTGAAGAGTGACGTGGATGCGCTGCTTCCTCAAGGCTGGGGTGGTGCAGCAGCGAGCGGAGTGGGAGGGACGGGGAATGGGAGGAGGGAGAGGCTGTACAGACCAGCAGTGCAGCCTAATCCAGCTGTGATTGGGGGGGGAGGGACTGGCCAGGGAAGTGCAGTTGCTGCCTCAACTGACCTCGCCTCATCTGGTTCCTCCTCCTCCCAACCTACAAGTGGCGTGCGCATAGTCACTCCTGGAGTCGAGCCGATATACAGTGCTGGGGACATGTTATAGTGCTTGAGTACTAAACTTGGAGCACATGCTTTTAGTAGGAAGATGTATTTGATGTGGTCTGAGTTGACTTCAGAGAAGCCTGCTACTCTGTTAAATACCCTAGTAGAAGGTGGCCGCTATGTGTTTAAATTGTGTGAGAAGCTTGCAAGTCGAAGCTTCTGTAAAAAACTTAAAATTGAAGTTAAACAAAACCTTGCAAATCAGGTGATTGAAAAGCCACTGAAAAGCCACAGTTGAAGGCGGGACAAACTTGTATTCACCCCAAAACCAACAGACTTAAAAGATTGGCAGCACTATTGCGCTGCCATGTAGGAGGGTGAAGGCGGCTGCTGAGGTGACACTTTTCGCATCCTCTTGCAGTTATGACCATCCCTCAGTAACGAGGCTGTCGTAGACGAGCGGAGCGCACAAACACTTGCGTCACCCACTTCCGTCACCCCTGCAGTGTTATTAGACTCCGAGACCCCAAAACAATCACAAATCTCAAGCGAAACCCATCCAAAATCACCAAAAAAGATAAGAGCCAGGTCTCCTCAAGCCCCTCAATAGCTCTGCAGATCTTCCCGAGCACTCATACAACCAGGCCCTGCTCCAACGTTATTCGCATTGCACATAGCAACCGAAGGTGCGGCAGCAAAGGAAGGAGCCACTGCTGAGTCCAGCATGGGGAGGACGGGAGTTGCCAGGGGTTGGCAGTCCAGAGCAAGGAACGAGGTGTATCCTTCGGCGTCCTCATCCTCCTCATGTTCCATCCCCTGCCAGTCCACCACCTCATCCTCACACAGAACCCCAGCGGACTCTTGAGAGTGGCTGGGGTTCCAGCAACCTTCAGGTCCGGATTCTGTGACGTCAGATACAGGCGAGGGGACGATGGAGGGATGGCAGTAACCGAGAGCTCCATAGGATGCAGGTGGCGACTGAGGCGCAGAAGCAGTAGTATGAAGCATAGGTGGAGGCATGGCGTAAGGAACGGATGAAAGGCTGCTGTGCACGCTGGGAACGCTGGGAACCATTCCATCAGCTGCCAGACGATCGACTACTAGTGATCCTGTATCCACGCACCCGATACTGGGTGAACTGACAAGCGCGGAGCCTACACCCATCTGTACTGGATAAACACCGTAGAAAGTACCGGTCGGCACGACTTCCTGCTGCTGCTGCTGCTGTTGCTCTTGCTGCTGAAGAACCAGCTTCTGCTGCTGCTTCCGTAACCGCCGTCGAATACGCGCTCTCTCCTTCTCCTCCTCAGTCTTCTCCCTCTTAGGCTTCTTACCGATAGAGGTGTTTCCGTCTAGAATCTGCTTCTTAGGAGCCCGTGACGGAGTCAGCGGTGCGACAACGACTTCCAGGTTAACATTTGACGGAGCTCCTCCGTCGACCACTCCCGACTCTTGCTGCTTCCGCATCTCCACGATCTTCCGGTGAGAATTGGAATGCTTCTCCGGCTGGAATTCCGGGCTGCTCGCGGGCCTATACTCCGGACACAACCGTCCGGATTTGTACCTCACTCCACAGGCGTTGCAAAGGGTCTTGGGACCCATAGGGCCCGCTCGCCACTGGGGGGTGGTCGTTGACGAGCAATGGGTGCATCGGCGAATGTTGCCATCCTTGTCCTTCCCATCGGGACTCCCTTGTGGCTTACGCTTCTTGGATGGCTGCTTGGCTACAGAGTCTACTTGGTTCGTCGAAGCTGATCGAGGCAAATCAGTTCCACTGAGGGTAAGTGAACTAATGTCCGAGGTCGCAGGATCAGGGCCACCGATTAAACCCCTGGATTGAGGTTCAAGCGAGGGAGGAACAGAGTTGAGCGGACCCAGCGGCGGACTTGTGCAGAAATTCCGTTCCTCAGAAAATCCACCAATACGTGCGTCTTCAATCTCTCCCGTAGGCTTTTCATAACAATCGTCGAACTCGTCGCTGCTGCCAACCCCAGCGTCTTCCGGAACCACATGCGAGATCACGTCCGTCGACCAGACCCGCTTCATAATCCGCATGCGCTTGCTGCGGGATCTGGAGGAGAGAGCACACGAATCTGCCGGATTGAGATCGGCATTCCTCAATGACAAATTCGGAGTTTCGTACTCGACAAGAGCTGGTTCACCAAGTCCTTCAAATGGCCGACCAGGAGACAGACGCACGGTAAGAACTGAAACGGGACTGCCTTCTCGGTGAGATCCGGTGGAAGAATGAAACCGCTTGTGGTGCGGCGGTGATTGCAACGGCCATGATGGTTTGACGCAGGGGGTCTCGGGTGAGGATGCGTAGACCTCCTGCGTTCTCTCAGTGACGACTGGCGGGGCTGGAGCCTCAGACAATGAATAATCCTGCAGCACATAGCAAGAAGGAATAGATTTAGCTGGATGACATGAGACTGATCGACCAAATCAGACCATTGACACGAAATATATGAGCGGTATCTGATGGGCAGTTATTAATCAATTACTAACCTCGGAGTCCCAAGGAGGAAGAGGAGTCGGAACTTCGCTCAGGGTTCGGATATCCACAGTCGCAGGCGCCTGGAGGTTTAGTTGATTAATGGGACCAGCGATGTCATCGTCGGCGATAGCCAATATGTCATCCTCAAGCTGCAGCATACTCTCGTCCAAGCACAGAATGTCCATGAAATCGCCTTCCGCTTCATTCTGGAAATCATCCTGCTCAGCGAGATCGAGAGGGAGAACGAACATTTTATCAGCGACGAAAGCTCGTGATTGATTTTATATTAGTGTGTGGATTCGTTACATAAGATTTGTAAGCTTGGCTACCACACCACGGCACGAATCTGAAGGAAACAATAACTTACAAGTGAGATTTGGCAGTGCTCAGCGTCCTCTGCAATAACGTCGTCGCAGTGTTGAAGTTGCTTTACCGAGCAACGTTCCGCAGGAGAGAACGAATCCGCTGTCAAAGAGCCATCTTGTTGAGCCATGGCTGAAACCTCCTATGTTTCAAACTTTCAAAACCTTGGGATCTGATCAGTTTAGGAATGCGGTTTCTGTGTCAGAAATGAAAGAGAGCACCAGGAGTCTGACAGGAAATGGTTTCTGGGTCTCCGTCTGTGAGTTGGATGGACAAGCAGGGATGGACTTTCAGCTGACCTCGCCGACAGAAGTGGTGCTTCGCTGGACTTGACGGACTGGAGAAACGGTAGCTAGCAATTCAACTGCAAAACACATCCGTCTTAAATTTAGGCGGTGCTCTGTAATATGGGTGTCGACGGACCCTGAAGTCCGTCGCTTTGGTTCCCCGAGCCACTGACTTCCGTCAAGCCGAACCAGCGAATGTGGTAAGCAGGGGTAATTGTTCAGAAAAAGAGACAATCAATGGGCGCCACGTGTACCGACTGCAGCTTTCTGACCGCACCTCTGGGCTTAGCCAGTCACATTGGCGTGTGTAGGCGGGACGGGTCTCAAGGGGTTGCCGCACCCCGCACGGTTTTGGGGGAAAGAAGCTTCGACATGGAAAAAAACTCATGGACAGGAGGGCAGACTCCCTATTGGCTGCACCACAACCAGGAGAGGGGTAGTTGGAAAAAGGGAGCGCTTTTTTGCCACGTCAAGGAGGGGCTGAAACAAAACCCGTGCGGTTACTGTTCTTTGTACTGCCCGGAGGACCTGGTATCCATTTCCCGCCAGCATTTGAATGCCACATACCCACACGTGAGAAGTGGGAGGGAACTGGGAGGGAACTGGCAGGGTGGCACATGTGGTGGGCAGAGAGGCTCGAGGATGTCAGAAAGCAACGGCACCCTATTTGTTGAACTTGGATCTTTGGCAGATCACTGCCTACATAAATTCTGCCAGGAAAGGCGGAATCCTTGTTACGTCAGTTCCCGCCATCTTGGGTTGGGAC